AACCCAGTCTTGATGAGCGAACGTGTTTAGCGACGATACGAAGCTGAGCCCTGTCGCCTAAAAATCCAGAGCCCAGTCCACGTGAAACAACGTTTACAGAACAACACAGTGCGATTGTCACCTGGGTTTTTTTTATTGGTGAAACCAACTAATCCACTATGTAAACCAGAAAAAAAAGCACATTGACGATTGTAGACTTTCATCAGACCTATAACAGAGCAATATGTCACATTGCCTTCTGATGGAATGAGCACGTGGGCTAGGGAGGGGTGTCAAAGCCAAAGATGTCAAATTCTCCATCTCCGATTGATCTTTTGCGATGAGACCACGCCAAGCCTTGGTGCCACTGGAAATAGCAGTCTGCTTGAACGACTCTAGCATGCAGCACGAATTGCCACGCAAAAGCAACGGCCTCATTGAGCTGGTTACCAGAGAGAGAGAGAGAGAGCAGGCGGCGATCTTGGTTGCTTCGATGCTCTCTAAGAACGGTGACACGCCGCAAGCCAGAGCGAGGCCTTGGGAGTTATGACCGCTGTACACCCAGTAAGCGTGCAAAGTTGGGGGCCCAACGTTGGCGGGTGGTTGGAACCGTTGGGTCAACGTTGGCCCAACGTTCCGTGTTTATGGGTTCATTTATATTTATTACTGCGGCGATAATTTTTCTCTCAGATCCCCTCTTCAGCACATTTAACATTCATCACCATCGTGTCACTGTAATCATTACATTTTGTATAAAAAATCTCACAGTAAAAATTCTGCAAATTAGATATTGTACTGTACATTAGTCGAATACAAAACCCTCCCTCGCCCCCCATCAATGTGAGCATTCATTTTTACTTTTCCTTATGAACTTATTATACAGTTATTTATTTAAAAACAGTTTCGTTTAAATCAAGACAGCTGCGCCACGTTTAAAAACGACATCAATGACTTCTGGGAAATGACACTTTTAAGTGGGAAATGGTGACAAATTCAGGGGGCTTTAGGAACAAAGCTTAAGATTGTATATTTGTACTGTATAAGAGATTTAAATGGGTGTCACTAAACGTGTGTTATTAGGCCAAACAGGTGTTATTTAATCCTCTTCGGCCTTTCACGCACCGGAAAATACATTTTGTGTTGCAAACCATTGACCCTTTGAGAGTCGCACAGCGAAATTAAAACACATTACAGCAGCATATGGTCCATTCACCGAGGCGCACTGACCAGCGTGGTGAAGGTATGGCCAAATGGCCCCGCGCGAGCCGCGGGGAAACCCTCATTCAACAGTGGGATTGACAAATGGCCGATACTGCATCAGTGGTGTACAATCAACGCGTGCATAGTATAACACAAATACCTTTAAAAAAATTGTGATGTGCGATTGCAATGAAATTGAATTGAATTTCAAATCAGTAAATTGTTGTTTTCGATTATAGCAATGAATTACAGCACTTGCAAATGTTAAAATACTGTCATACATAACACTGTAAAACGCTCCCCTCCCTTGTTGTACAATGTTGTATACTGCATGCACAGTATTTTCAATAGCAATTTGTGTCGTGAATTGGTGTGGTACATTGTGTGTATTCCATACGGGCTTTTTTCGTGCAATCATGCCCAACGTTTGAACACAAAACGTATGCATGTTGTCCGTATGTTGAACTTCTTTCGCACCGTACGTAGCCAAACCGTGCTAATCAGAGTTGCAAAACAGGGGGTTATTTGGGAGATATGGAAAGGTCCAGATTAGGCGATGTTAGGGCAGTGTTTAGTAACGTGATTCATTCATCAAACCACATATATATTCACGTTTTCTTCGTGGAAAACTCAACAAATTCGTCAATAACCTCACGATTGGCCATAGCCCACTGTGCTCAAAGCAACAGAATCATCAGCCCCTTCCCTGTCATGAAGTCTGGCACTGAATTGATAATGCAGTGTACGCCCGCTGCTATTGAGGTAAGAAAAAAATACAAATGATCAGATTATAATTGCCTAATACGTTATTATCTATGTTCTGTTAGTTGCGTATATTTCTATTAATGTATTTATTGCACGCGTACACTCTGTAAGCGCTCAAGATGGGATAAGGCGTGAGATTGGCTCATGTTGGCGTGAGAGTTCAACAAACCACAGCAAGGGGAAGGGAAGGCCATCATTGTCTCTTGAACCCGCACGGTCATTTTTGCCAGCAGGTTGGAGGGGAAGGGGTTGTTGCTGTCACGGAATTTTAGGCATTTTTAAAACTGAGGCACATGGGAAATCGGAACGTTTTAAGGTATTTTTTTTGGTGTGATTTTCTGGTCCTGGAAATTTGGCAGCATCAGCGTGAGACCGTGATAAATTCTAAAAAAAATGTACGAGCCTCACGCCAAATACGCGAAACTAATAGAGGTCTGGCACACAAACGCTGTCAATGTACGTTAGCATTGCACCAGAGCCATCATTTTCTGATTTTCTACTCTGGCCATATCAAAGTAATCAGCCAGCTCACGGCTGTGGCAAAGTGAAACGAAGCAAAGCGAAAACAAACACACACACACTTATACAAAGGCACGCACATACACGAACGTATAAATACACAAACACATAACAGACACATACACGCACAACAGAGATGGACACAAATTACACATATATCCACATGTATAACACACAGATACACATAAGCACATATAAATCCAAACACAGACATTACACAAGACAAAACACACAATCACGTAACATGGACACGTATACACACATAGACAAAAACACGTACTTACACACAGCACACACAAACACAACACAGACATATTTACTGTACACTCACGAAAGCGCACACAACAAACGTGGGCATAACATACATGTGCACACGCCAACACAGACATACACCCCCCCCCCCAACACGCACAAAGACACAAAGTGCACACCTACACATTCACACAACGAGCTCCCGCCCCTGGCCATATAAAGACTGGATGAGGAAAAAAATATTCGGCTCCATTATTGTTTCAGCGGAATATTCAGGGCATCTCTATTCCATACTACAGCACATTTAAGGAATTAGACATGTAACGATTTCTAGATTTGAAGTTTTCGTGACTGCAAGGATCCAAACTCTTTGCTTCGGACGCTTGTGTTGTGTCCGAAACGTCGTTATTTAATTTATTTTAATGTTTTACCTACGTGACTTTACCGATAGAACCAAAGAGTATGTAAAGATTTACCACCGCAGTTGCAACATTTGATTCAAGAATTGGTTTTCTGTCATAAGACTAGTTTCCCTTTGCCACTGCTTTATTTGCGATGTCTTTACGGTGGAGATGCATTCTTGCTTTGTGGCTCACTAGGTATGAATGTTCGAATTTAAAAAAAAATTCGGATTGATCTGATCGGTATCACGTGATATCTAAATGTAAATGGTTAGAACATCTAATTTGAAACATCTCTCTCAGCCTAAAGGTGACATTTTGAATGTCCATACAGAGTAGATACTGTAATCGATTCCCCACAGGCAACATTTAATGCGCGTATCGTGAGTAATAAGTTGCTCCGTTTAACACAGGTTGCAAAACTAAGTCAATAAAAGTTCCGCGTGGAACGACTCTGTGACGTGTTGTGTTGCACGCCAAACAAAGCATTCTGATTGGTCGTAACGGGGTCACACGGTGGTGGGCAGAGGAAATCGACAGCCATACAGGTTGTTTCAAAAGAATGGACCCGATTTGAAATCGCGATGTCTTTGAAATTAGGTCCATCGTTTTTAAACACCCTGTATTTAATCCAAGCTATATTTCACACGGCTACATTTAACGTGGCTGCATTTTTTTATGCCTATTACAGCATATATATGATTAATAAACGAAAAGGATTAATATATTTAAACATAAATAAGTAACCTTAGTGTATTTTTCTTATATCTATTTTTTATGTTGGCTTTCTTTACGTATCTAATACGGCTCAAAATTTGTTTTTAATTAATAGGCCAAATAGGCACCTTTCTTGCCGAAATCCCCCGCAGATATTTTGCCAGACAGAAGCAACAAATTTCATTCTTTCAAGAGAGTTGCACGCACCATTTTAATAATGCAAAATTAAGTGCAGGAATTCTGCAATGTTTAAGTTTAGCCTAAGGATCAGGTCAAGAAAGTGCATTCGATTAACCAGGTGAGCATTCAGAGATCAGGATAGACCCAATTGGGAGTGGCCCAGGTCACGACAATGTCAATCAATTTTGATCAAAACATCTTTGCATCGTTACATGCCTATACAAGTTCTCGTGTAGACAGTGTTTCGATAAGTGTGGTATAATAATACTGAATACAGTATTGTAATATGTGGACATACAACACAGGTGCTAATGCAATGTACGTTAAGTATATACAGAACTGTAAAACAGTAATGTGGTCTTCCTATTGACAGACTAGACCAGGGATATTCAACCACTGTATATTGGGTGGGTGACAATAAAACCAGCATGTGCTAGCAGGCCACTTGTTGTCATACGTCACGTGTACAGAAGTTATGACGTGCAAACCCGTTGTGAGATCATGCCAGTACATGTGACCACGAATGGTGTACCTCTTATATCTTTGCATGGCTTGTCTCTCATCTCGCTAATATATATCTGTTAAAATATCAGCCAAACCATAACGGGCCACAGCACGGCAGACCACTCCACCACATGGGCCTTCCCAGGTAACGTTTGTCCCACGGGCCACCGGTTTCAATTACCCTGGACTAGAACCACCGCATACCTGCAGAGTCCTATTCTTGGGTTTTTTCGGTAAAGTCACGTAGGTAAAAAATTAAAATTAATAAACGTAAAATAAAATAAAAATCACGACGTTTCGGAGGCAACACAAGCTTCCGTCTTCAGGTGGAACCGTCACAGCACGATAGCTGTATCAAGTACTTGATACAGCTGAAGACGGAAGCTTGTGTTGCCTCCGAAACGTCGTGATTTTTATTTTATTTTTTATTTTATTTTAGGTTTATTAATTTGAATTTTTTACCTACGTGACTTTACCGAAAAAAACAAAGAATATGAATCCTTGCAGTCACGAAAGCTTCAAATCTAGTGCAGAGTCCTTTCAGCGTTGCCTCAGGACTTGATAGACGATATCAAGACCGCACGATGCTCCCTTGAGCACGGGGATGGGGATATCTTATTGAGTGTGCACAAGCACGTGCCAAACAAACACACCTACAGCTGCTATTGCTTAATTGCGAGATAGCGGCACAATTAGAGAATCCGTCACACAATGTCCGCGCGTCTTATCAGGGGTGATCACGAAGTCGTGAGAATTGTATTTTATTATGTTTTATTTTAATTATTTTATTATTTCCATTCTACGTGACTTTACCGAAAGAACCAAGAAATAAAACATAATACAATATTATATTATTATATTATGTTTTATTTTTATTATTTTATTATTTCCATTCTACGTGACTTTACCGAAAGAACCAAGAAGATTAATCCCTGCAGTCACGAAAGCTTTAAATCGAAAAGATCACGAAAATTGTGAGGCTTACGAGACCTCCTGACTTCATACTCGGTTGCCGTCGGTGGGATTCAGGAGTGGGTTCAGATTGTCAGGCCCACGTGTCACTTCTCTGTCCTTTCTGCAACTCTGTTTCTCTATGCGTCTCGATCCATATTCCTCTTAATACATTTTAAACCTACTTCTGCTATCTGTCACATTGTCTTTGTTATACGTGGCTGTGCTTTTGTCTCTTCACGTCTCTTTGTATGTTTGTCTCAATTTCTGTCTCTATGTCTGTCCCTCTGTTTCTATTTCTGTGTGTCTCTATTGTATTTAACACGTTTTGTGTTGTTCTGTATTTATCTTCATGTTTCTCTGTATTTCCAACTATGTCCACCATCTCCGTACCTATATGTTTTTGTCCGTGACTTCCATATCTCTGTCTGCTTCACAATGTCTCCCTGAGTCTCTCTCTTTGTCTTTATGTTTTTGTTCTGTCTCTGATCATGTTTTTAATGCTACAAGTTACACATGAATATCGGGTTAAAAAGGAATACAGTTTTATGGGTTTGCCTGCCCTCCTTCCAAAAGCAAGACTCAAGCAATGAGTGTAAGTAGACAATTAGAAATATGCTACTGCCACTTTTCATAACAGTCGGAGCTATATCCCAAACATGACCACTAACCAGAGAAGTCTCAAATGTAGTCATAAAGCAACTGAAGTAAAACACCACAAAAAGTATAAATTCAGTGTTTCAGTGGCAAGCAAATGATGAAGGAAGGCTTATATGACCACCCTTTCACAAGTAAATTCACGGAAACATTCAAATTATGTTAGAAAGGAGGCGAGTATCACGGAGGCCTGGAGACTGCGTCAGAGAACTGAATGAGCAACGCTGGAAATTATAATTCGAACCGCAAGCTTCGACCAGAGATGAAGTCATTTTCCCAAGCACAGTGCACATTATAGTCTCCCATAGACAAACGTGGGTTAGAGAACCTACACAAGTTAAAGAGACACCATCTCAGTAACTGTTATGAAAAGCAATTGGGCTTGGGTAGAACATATCGCCGGATGGGATGATCGCCGGTGGTCTAGACAAAATGAAGGAATGGCAGCCAAAAGGAGGGAACACTCCAACGGCATCTACCGTACAGCTGGTTCGATGAAATCAGCGCCTTGTGCGGGAGCTGTATGGACTGTTGCATCGTGAGACGTTGTTCTTCACATTTTCCGAGGGGGGGCACTTTCGCCGATAAGATATCCGTGTGAGGGCCACCACACATTTGAAACCATTGGGGTGTGACAGCACGATGATGTGGGGTGTTTTCACATGTTGTGTATTGTCGGGGGCCGCACGTCAGGGGCCACACTAAAGGCCACGAGGGGCCACTAGGGGCCCGCGGGCCTTGCAATGAAGAACACCGCCGTGAGAGATGATGATGACCGGTCAAAAATAATGAATACAAACTCAAGTTTATAACGGTTTGTTTTTCCAGCTTTAAGGACAAGTAGGGAACCACTCGGTCACCTCGACGTCTTAAGAGTAGGGCAGTTTAGCAATATGTGTAAGATTGATGCTTGAAGCTGTTTCATGGCCTGAACGATCACTTTTGCGTTTGTCCCACTGTGCGATGTTCACCCTTGTTTCGTGCAACGCGATGTCGGATGTGAAGATGTTTTACTTGAGCCTTCGATGGCAAGAGTCACGTGTGCCACAAGTGGCCAAGCACACATTTAACATGGCTGGAATGCAGAGAGAAAGATATAAAGTAAGGAGGAGGGAGTGGGACGGTGTTACTGTGGATCAATTCTCTCACCAGATTGCTCTGCAGTTTCCCTTTATACGGTTGTTATTGTTTAATATATAGATTTTTTTTTACACAAAAACTCAACAAGTGCTCACACATCGCGATGTATCAGTGCAGGAAAAATCTCCGTGTAAATGTGCTTTCAAATACGATGTAAACAATTTTACTATATATTTGTTTTACCAGGTAAGGCGCACAGACTGCAAATGATAGCCCAATTAAGTGGCTTATCACGTGGAATTGTATAGCAGCCAAATACTCTAAACGTTTCAGTGTGTGCCACTAATATTGTATTACATTTGGGGGTTTCACTTAATTCGGCAACAAATTACAAATCTAGAAAATATAAATAATATATTTTTAAACTGATATCCGGCGAACGTGTCTACAGCGAGTCAAGTTTATTCGTCTAGCAGAGTGTATGAGAAAGTGAAGGGCCATGAGCGTGGATAAGGAGTCACTTGATGGAAACCAGAAGTAGTTTTGTGACATCGCCTTCCATTGAACATTCTTTGTCATGGGCCAAACGCCGCTCTGTAAAAGTTCAAAAATGGCCACTTTGCCGCACGACGTGAAGCCGACAGCACGATTGGAATAAAATTGGGTAAGTATATATTAAAAAAAAAAAAAGTTTTAAACAAGATTAATGGATGCCTATCATATGTACAGAGCAGACTGGGGTTGTGAGGGGGCATTCTGGATGGAGTTGGTATAACTGATAAAAAAAATCTACCGTTAATGTGCATTTGAAAAAACTTTTGCTGCAAATGGGCTCATTTGTAATTTGCCAACAACGTATTGTCTCATGACACATTTGCTTCAGGATCTAGAGAGATAATGTATAAAATTAGATATATATATTTATACTTGTTTACCAGCAAAGGCTCACGGAGTCTCAATACACTTTTTCAGGAGGGTCGTACCAAGTTTTTTTTCGCAGGAGGGGACGATGTTTGCCGTTGCTGCTGTGTGTGATCCCAATTGAGTAACTTTCAGGTATTTATTTTCAGCATTGGGATGTTTGGCCAATACCAATTACATTGTAGGGTTTGTGTTGTTGTTTGTAGCTGTGAGAGGAAAGCGGTGAAACCAAAACAGACCAAGGCAGAACAGGGGAGAGGAAATACAAGCTCAACCCAGAAAGGCGCCCTAGTCAGGAATTGAACCCAGGTGCTTCTTGCTACGAGTGTTACCGCCGTGCCACCATCACATCCAACACGAGGGAGCAGCAACCTGCGGCTTCGGAGCCACATGCGACTCTTTAAGGACTTGCTTGGTGACGTTATTTATGAAGGACAATCACATTTTGACTTAACATCACCGTCTCGTATTCACCACACGGTGCATTGCGGCTCCTGAAATATTGCGTTTTTGTTGTTACCGAATTCGATGATAAAAAAAAATGCCCCTTCTCGTTATTGTGGTTGCCGACCCACTGTACTAATTACATTTCCAAAAAACAAACACTGCACTATACATTTCAACTTAATTTAATAAAATGTATGGTACTCTTATAAATGGGGACATACAAAGATAATGTGAAAAGCGCGCTTCGGATCATTAGCCCGAGCAAAGATATAAGAAACCACACGGAGGAGAAAAAACTATAATAAACGGTGAAAACACACAAGCGTGAACAAACACAACACTGCAAACAAAACAACAGGCAGAGAGAACAATCCTAAAATAAATAACAGAAATCGTGCTGCTTTGGCGCGGCAATTATTGCTGCGGCTGAAGTACGATGGCAGCGTCCGCCAGCGTGCTGCAGCCGGCGGTGCAGAAACGCGAGATGATTTAGAAAGGGCACCGGTCATTAGGGTCCTGTGAACGCTGCCGAACAAGCTGAAGAATTCATTGCGTGCAAATGTGCGCTCCGTGGATGGAGAGGGGGTAGAGCAGCCCCTTTGAAGCGCTGCCACTGCTCAGAGTGTTGAATTGCAACGTGCAGTTTTTTTGTTACTTCATATTTTAAGATCGCGTTCGTGAAACAACCCCGATTAAACAACAACAAATTCAACGACCGCAATGATGTTACAGATGGTTCTTGTTTTTTTGTTGTTTGCATCGGAAATGTTATACGCTTCACAAACAACTGTAAAAATCTTGTATCTGTTCCACCTGATGATGGTCGCTTGCAGTTGCGATCGAAACGTCGTGATTTATTTTCTTTTATACCTACGTGACTTTACCGAAAGAACCAAAGAGTATGGATAAATGTAACAATAGCAAATACGGGGTGGAACGGTGTCGCGCGGGATGTACCCGGCCACCTGCGTATTACTCCCGTCCACGGCGACAATGCTCCCGAGTGACCGAACTCGACTCGTGCTGGGATACTCCCTTCGCCGACCCACACTGACCAGCGTGGTGAAGTATAGTCAAAGAACCCCAGCCTAACCCGTGACTCACATGGCGTGGGACGGCCTTCTTCATCCAGCAGTAGATTAATTACATTATTTACTCACAACTGTCAGGAAGCACCTGGCTGGTATGTTTGGTCACTTACGGCTTGAATTTATTTATTTCGATTTGAGGCATGAAACAGGAGTGCCCAGAGAAAAACCAATCCGTACGAGAGAAGACCCACACGTCTTTGCACAGGCAGGTCAGTGATCTACTTGCTGTACCGCCTCTCACAAGCAGGGCCCAGCAAGTGGGTGTCTGGTGGGGTTCACTGCCCAGCCATGGTCCTGGGCACCCACCAACTTGCACTGAGCAGTGAGGTGAAGAATGTTCAAACAATCGCCACGGCTCACCATGGCCTTGGGAGACTCCTCGTTTAAAAGCAGTGGACCGATAGAATCGAAATAATTGTGATATCACAGTGATCTCAGGCACACTAATAATGAGATTGCTGTACTTTTTATTCAATGCCCCACCCGCTGCCCAGCTATTGCGAAATGTCATTGAATCCCAAGTCGCAGAGATTACTCCACCCGTGGAGAAATACAAGTTTTACCTCGGTTCTCCATGTGTGACGCTGGCCGGGAGGTTCGTGGCCTTTTACGGGGTTTCCTGCCTTCAAGAGGTAGCAATATGAATTTTGAGTCGATTCGTCTACGAAAAATTGTCTATCGTCCCAGATTTAGTTATAAGGAAATACATCCTGACGTACAGTGTATGCGCCATAGATTCACTACACGATGGTTGTGTTCACAGAGCCTTACTAAAAAACACACACACACACAGGTGCGCACACGTCCACGTGCGGACAGCACCTGGGACTCGATGAGGAGTCAAGAGCGTGGCCCTCATTAACGTGCAGGCACGAGGGAGCGTTCGACCGTGCACAACGCGAGTTGGCAGGGCAGATTAGCGCTCTGAAATTAAGCTTGCCTTTAAAAGCTACTGTCACGCCCTGCCTGTATAATTTACGTGGATATGTTATAAAATTGTAATGAAAAAAGGTGTACACGTGGCTGAGAACAGTGAGATTTTTTTTTACGTTGATAAATTATTTCAACTCCGCTATTTTTTATTTTACCATTCAGCTATACAGCTCTTTTTCAGAAGCGACCTGGCCACAAATGAGAGCTCAACGAAGTGGCTTTTGTGGAAATTTATAGCAGCCAAATTCTCGAAATACTCCAAATGTATAGTCGGAGGACATCAAATACGTTTTGGCAGCTAAAAACCTCAAGTCGTAACAGCCCTCACCCCCATATTCACGTGTGTCAGCAGTGCCGTTTAACTTTACAATAATTCGTTTTAATTCGAATGAAATGCTGAAATATTCTTTGTTTAAGCAGTCGAGAGCATGCTGAGATGTAATTGTCCCATGTAAATTTAGTTACGTGGGAATGGTTTGTATATGGATTTTTTTTTTACAATGACAGCTTTAAAACGTTTGGGGTAGCAGCTATTACACGGGCACTAACATCGTGTTGTAAATTGAAGTCACGGGGTCTTTGATGTCGACCTCACAGCTGAAGGTGCACTTCAGTAATTTCCCTTCGTGCTCCACGTGGCTCTCCGGTGTTTTCGGGTCGTGCCGTGCGATGTTCGATACGATGTCCGACGTTTCGCTCCGCGAGCTGGGAGCTTCTACGGGGAACTGAATTCAGCGCTGGGAGCTTCTTGACTTTAGCTCATGAAGAAGCTCCCGGCGTGTGAAGTGAACCGTCGGACATCATGTGAAACAACACACGGTGAGGAAATTACCAGAGGGAATTTGGGAATGTACTGGCGAATTAGTGCCAAATGCCTTCGTGGCAAGTGCCCTCACACGAGTTTATACTTCCACCGTGACTCAATCAACTGCTGTGTCAGTTTCTGCTCACCATACAATTCATTTGAAGTCTCGCAATTTTCGAGTTGGTGTGCGTATCTAAAGGCTCTGCACAACTCATTCAGAAATGAGCCTGTTCTCGAAAGCTAAGCAGGCGTTGATCTTGGATAGTGCTTGGATGGGTGACTATGCAAAACAGGCGCTGTAGGCCGCTGCAGGTTTATGTTTGCGGGAAGCAGAGAAGCGCAACATCCAATGTTATACTGTACTTGTACGCACGCCTCGTCGATAATCCCTGCCATCACCAATCCACACTCACCAGCAGAGTGAAGAATGGACATATACAACCCCTATGACCCATGCACCATGGAGAGGCCATCACCTCGCAGCGGAGTGACGAATGGGATATACATATTCTGCGCAATGTCATTTTTCACAGCTGTGATGAAGCGGCCGCGGCCATGCAGGCCATGCGAGAGAGACGTCGCCTCCCCGTGCGGCCTCACACGAAGCCACTTAGTTTTGGCACGGGTATCTGGGCACAGAACCTGCTCGAATGTCACAGCTTACATGCGTGTGTGTGCCTGCCACCAAATCACTCTGAATGTGCACGATCCCATCGGATCTCATAAGCCAAGCAGGATTTTTGGAACCCGGCTCATGCAATCCGATAACAAATCCCTTTTTTCAATATTATTTATATAATTAGGATGGCGGAGTACAGCTTATTCATATTGCCGCAAATTGTGCTTATGATTATCACGTAAAACAGCCTTCCCCAAAACACACAAGAGGGCTTCAAAAAATGAAAGTGTCATTGATTTAAAGCGTGGAAATCTTCTGTCTGGAAAAAAAGCGGTGTACAACGCACCACTGCGGTTTGTGAGTGTTGCCTTGCACGTAATGAATTAACTTTTGTTGGCGATGAAGGGACCGATGTGGAAGTTGTGAACGGCGTTCAATCACGCCCGATTAAACTCCATACAAATTGCCTAGGTGTTGGATAGCATGTTGAACCCGGGGGGGGGGGGGGGGGGAAACCCCCAGTACGCACTAAGCAGTCTTGTTACAATGTCCGCTCAGGCTAATGAGGCAGATGAAAGCAATTTAAGTGGAAGGAGAAGAAATGACATATTACCTCTCAAATCCTGTCTCTCAGCTTCAACGAATAGGAATCGCTGCGCCAGTTTTCGCGGCCCATTCAAAATGGATTATGCAATTGCACAATGCAGGTGAGTGCGTAGGGGGGGGGGGGTTCTGCTATAATCATCAGGAAATCAACAAACGTCGCATGAGGCGGCCTGCAAAACAAAACGGATGTTTCAGCGTCGGTAAACATCACGGCCGCTACCCCCGCCGCCGCTGGTACTATGGTGAGAGATTCTATGGCGATATAGCCAGGGATGTATTCGAGTTTTTGCTCACGTCGATTGTACACTGATAACGGACACACGCTGCAAGAGACAATGGCAGAAAAGCTGCGGGAGTAATCAAAATGCTGATGACCCAGCCGTACGGCATTTGCACGTAGGATGATGTTGCGTTGCTGCAGGCTCTAAAGGTCGCTTCCGCCAGAATTTCACTGTTGGCCGTCGATAACATTTAGATTGCAGGTAGGTTGCAAGGGTGACCTTGCTGTAACAAGTGTAATGTGCAATATTCACAGCAAGGGCAAGTTTGTAAACATGTCGGAAAAAGTGTAATTTTTTTTTCCTGAATTCCTCCACTTGGATGATTCCCTCATTTACAGAGACAGGATCACACGTGTTGGTGACATCACGAGTTAAAAACGGTGGCGCACGCAAACCTCAGAATTCCAATCACCTAAGCGCACTTTTCTCCGCAACGATGCTTCCCACCTGCGTCAGATGAGAGGACACGTCGTAAAGGTTACTTCGTTTTTTTGTGTCGTGCGTTGTGTTTTTTTTGGGGGGGTCATCCATTCCTTCGGCGTGAATCGTCAACCCCCGTGAAAGAAAGCGACAGCCCCCCGTGGGAAAAAGTGCGCCAAGCACTGTAGGGGCTGCTCATCCGATGTTGAACACCAAAAGCAGAATAAGTGTCCGCGATCGTGACCTTTACGCTAAGCGCGAGCCTCATCCGAAAAGCCTGAAATTTACGTGGCCTCGTGACGTCGAGTCGACAAAAAACCAGCACACTTTCGTCGCCACCAGCAATAAACGCACAAATATTCTCTGTATTTATATAATTATATATTAAAACAAAGTACCTTTTTTTGTTAAACGCATTTTAAAGCACAGGTAAAAACACCTACACACTGCAAACAACTACACACCTTCCAGAAAGCAACTCCCCAGTTGAAAACGACAAGATGCTGAAAAGTCTCAGAACACTGGGAAGCAGGTTTCACCCGGCAGTGTTTCAAGACGCAGCAACAGGGCAGCCCTTTAGCTCCCACCCCACACACACGGATGCAGATACTGCTGCAGGATCTGCAGGAGGCCCTGCTGCAGGGGCTCCAGTGGAAAAGAGCATCGCCTGGGTTTTCTCTTCAGCAAAAAAGGGGCAATATCAGCCCTGCAAGAGAGCGAGAGAGAGCGAGAGAGAAAAAAACAACTAACCAGGGTGTTCTTGCAAGTGGGCTTTACTTTGAGGACTTCTAAAGATTGTGAACGGGAGGTAATGTGTTAATGGCCGATACGTGTTAAAGAGAGGAATAAATAAACTACTTTGAGTACTCGATGAAGGTCAAAGAGAGACTGTGGCGGTCTTTGCCATTCTGGGAAATGGTTCCTCTGGAAAAAAATGTATCCATGAAAAACCATGAGCAGCCAAACACGAGACGACAGGACTTAATCGTCAACAAATGTATTTAATTTCTACCTAAAAGAAAAGATAAACACTTCTGCTATCCGGACTTTAACGTTGCTGCCAGGATACACAGGAGTGTATGCGTTTGCAAAACGTGGTTTTCCTGACAGATGTGCTATAACTGCGTGCTTCCAAGTGTTCGGAGGCCTTTTATAAAGGTCACGAGGACAAAGAGTACAGCCACTTGGTGGCTTGAAGCGGAGTTTCAGGAGACTGGGTTCCTGGCCAGGGTGTGAGCACACCAGAGGAGGAGAGTGTCTCCATCGCAGTCGACCGAAGACAGGGCATTCAATTATAAACAATCGCCTTCGTCTCCCGCAGGGAAGCAATTATAGATATAACCCGCCGTTGTTTAAAGTGTCGTTTTAAAATTCACTGCCTTCGTGCATATCATATACAATTTAAATAGTGTCCCATACCATCGTGTATGTATCCATCACTTCCACCCGAAGCGAAATTTGATTGAGTTTTATTTTACGTACCCCGCTCGGGACTGACTTTGTACTGCTGACACTTATTTTGTTAATTTTACCAGGCTGTTGAGAATAACAGTAAAATTGTTGTCAAGATTCATTCATGCGTCAACCTTGAGTTCCAGTCTCTTGAAATCTAGATTCAAGTCACTGACAACATAATAACACAAAATTGGTGGAAACATATTTTGGCCACATAGCATCACGGAAAATATCTACGATGCCATTTTTTTTAAGTGGCTTCCTGTCCACAGGACTTAATGAGCAAGACGGCAACCGGACAATGACTGTGAAAAGAACAAAGCAATTTTTTTTGTTTAAACCAAACCCCCCCAAAAAACTAACAGCAGGCGTCTCTTGATGGCAAAACGGATCTGTAAATGTTTTTTCATACCCCCTTGTTCTCGCCAAAGAAACAACAGAAACGTGACGGACAGGCTAGGTAACGCGCAGTGCTGCGCGAGCACCTAGACCGCATTTGTGCCTTGCCTTGCGCACGAGCACGTTATTGCATGCTTTAAATAACTTAAGAAATAAATAATCTCAATGATAATTTGTAAAAAAATATATAAAAATATTTTAGAACGCCTTTATTATTTTTTCTTATGATCATTGTCTTCGGTTTCATTTTTTTAAACTTTTTTTTTTACGTTTACCAGTCTTTAGCATTATTACTGCTAAATTCAATATGGCACTCTTGAAAACATGGAGAAATCCCGATACTGTGCCACACATTTATCCCATGAACAACGAACCAACAACCCAGTCACTGTTTAATCTCTACCCAGTCTCAACTACTGCAGTGGTGCGTGATACCAATGCTTTGGTACCCACACTATATACAATTTATACTACAGAATATCAATATTTTAACGATACCTTTACGTGATAGGCACATGGGGTTAGGGAATTGTGGATTGGTGTTTATTGTTGTCCGTGAAAGGCTTCAGAAGATTAGGGTGTACAAATGTTGCTATTTATTTTTTGCTGACATCCAAGTCACATTGTCAGCCTAAAAACTTGTGTGGAATGCAAGTTATAGATACACCGAGACCCAAAAGTTAGTTTACCGAGACAGAGTGCAACAATTTATGAATGTTTTGGCAATTTGTTTACTCCTAATAAAGACCTTGACTAATTTATTTAACGGATTTAAACAACGAGCTCTCTGCTAGGATGGCCTAAGGGCCATCCTGTGGCCACAGATTTTGTAGCATACTGCTCTCCTTTTTGTATTTGGATTGTCAACCAACACGGGGTATAACGACATCTTGTACACCTATTGTTCTCTTTCAGCCTCGCCCGCCCACCCCCCAACACGTTCCATTCATTGGCTACCACATTCAGATAAGCCCCTCCCCCCTTAACTTGTATTTAAGAACTAGTCTCTTGGACTTTTGCCTCACTTGAAACGGTAAATCTAGTTGTGACCGTCTCACCTGATGACGGAGACTTGTGTTGCCTCCGAAACGTCGTGATTTATTATTTTATTTCTGTTATTATTTCTGTAATTATTTATATTATTTATTATTTATTTAGTTTTACCTACGTGACTTTACCGAAACAACCTAAGAGTGTAGCACACTGCTGTTGATGCCCTGGGGCTCCACAGGAACTCTCGGACACAACCGTTCATTGTGTGCATCCTAAGATTCAGAGGCCTTCGGGGTTTTAAAGTTTACGGTTATGGATTGAACTAAAGGTTAAATGTAAGGTGAGCGATAGGATTTAGTGTAAAGGGGTTCACATTATTACGTGGAGGTGTGGAGGGTTTGAGATCAAAGAGTAGCGTTAAGAACTATTTTAACATAATCTGTATTGGATCAATTTCGTTGATGTCACACGGGTATCGAGAACAATTGCCAAAGATCGATCCACAGATCGATCGATCTTGTAGCAGTATCAGAATATTGATAATTTGAGTTAATAGACACAGCCATAGTATAAATCCTAATTTACAAAAGGCCCTCTGCACCTAGGGCAAAAAAACCAAACAAACACTAGCACTCTCTCCCTCACAGCTAAATATTTTGTATATTCATTTAATTTCTGTAAACGTCTGTTTGCAATTAATGACTATTCCTGCACAAAATCCTGCACGCGTGTCTTTGCACATATATATGTATATGAGCTTCAAAATGTTTGGATAAAAAAAAGTAATACCTTTATACAGTGCCACAACTTTCAAAAACTACACAAACGCTTCAACAAAGACACAACTACCGTATTTATCCGCATTATAAGACGTAAGTTCTGCCCGTGTTTTACTTTCCGGAGCGTCTCATAGTCCGGAAAATACGGTAATCGTAGTTATCGAGTGAAAAAACAAGCGTGAAAATTGTGTCGGCAGTACAAGAACGTCTCCCCCAAATGATATTTGCTCTCCTTTATTACGCGATGCCACACTCCTTACGGCAAATTGAAAACAAACAAACAAAAACTATCACCCGAGGAGGCATTTTTTTGCCTTCGTGCCAGAATGCTTATCACATCCATTTACCAAGGAGGTGCAACCAGCCACCGATGATTTCGCTACCGCGTGGGGGGGGTTCTGCTTTTGTGTCGCGTCGCCCTCCCAACGTGTTTCCGGTCTCCGCCGCACGCCGTTCGGCACGATGTCCGACGTTTCGCTCCGTACGTGTTGAGAGCTTCTTGAGGACACCCCGACGACGTTCTTGAATAAATTCCCGAATAAGTTCGCAGAAAAGTGCCCAGCGCGGCGGCCAAGATGTCAAATGTCGCGCTAACAACAGCGGGGCTCTACTTGGGAACAACTCGGCGGGCGCCCAGGTTCGTGAACCGAGGGAGCACCCATCCTGGTGGCCGTGGCAACGCAGCATGGATCTATCTGAAGGATCTGGGTAAGATTCAAATATTATCCTATTCTGGCTCTGACGGCTCTGACCCATTTCCTCCTTAGAAGGCGATGAAGCCTATTTGTGGAATGATTGATCACATTACGCGTAGCCGTTCAGAAATTAAAAAGATTTTACCCAAACATCTCAAAGCAAACATATGTGTGTACATAGGTACATGTATAATAAAGACGTCATTCCTCTTGCTGTTTCTTCTTCCGTTTTACCCTGTTGCAATTTCCCTGCTAAAAAAGAAGGGAGGCCCCACACTGTGGCTCAACAGACAACATAAATTGTAAACCAAACACAATTTTTTTTCTTCTCTCGGGAAAATCGTTTGCTGAAGGAAATCGAGTACAGCACTGCACACATTTCTGAGGCTCACAAAAGCGTAATTTTTTTAGGACTCAACCAAGAACCCAAGGAGACAGGGAGGGCATGAGGCACAGGGCGCGCAACCTAAAAACAAACACGTGCCGTCCGCCAGCAACATCACGGCCGCGAGAGATCTCGCCATCTCGGGATAAAATTTCGCGATTTTCTGGGAGATCCCACAATTTCAAGACATCCCGACGGTTCGAGAAAATCGCGAAGATATCAGTCGAGATATTGACAGAGATCGAACAATTACAAAGTGTCCCATAACGTTGATGGTGATATCGTGGCTAATTCCACGATGTCAAGTGAAATGCTGGGATCTAAATACAAATCTATCATTTTAAGAGTTTACAATATTAATGAATCAGATTATTATTGGTCGAAATCCCACAACAAATTGTGCAATATTAAAGCATGCCGTAAATTGGATACGACACAATTTATGAAAATCCCCAATGGTAAAAAAAAAAAACATCCCCCGTTTTCATGAAATGTGATTCCATTTATTTTGATAGTCCTATCAAAACAAAATGAACAAAATTAAAATCTACTTTGCGAATAAAAAAAACACACCATCGTTTTAAACAAACAAAAAAATAGATACCCCGTTATTTTAGGGCGATTTAGATTTGTTTAGTTTGATTTAAATAAAATTAGAAAAAAAACATGTCGAGGAATCTGCACAATATCAGGGCGAGACTTTTCGCACGATTGTAACTGCGATCCCACAATCTCGGGGTCACACTTGGCGACTTGCACTACCAGGAAGCCCGCGGGTGCCCTAACGGCACTATTGTAAACACACCTGGGGCGTGAGCTCCTGGACAGGATAGGAGAATGCACCTCAAAAACCGCACAGCAAACAAAGAACAAGAAAAAACACGCACACACATCGCCGCGCGTAAAGGTGGCCAATACGTTACTTAAGCGGAAAAACCGTTAACAATAAACCAAACTAAAAACGAACAAAAAAAATGTATATTATGCATCTATATATAATTAAACTTTGAGACGGTAACACCTAAAACAAACTTCTCTCAAAAGAAAATGAATACTTTTTTTCTTCCTTAAACGCACATCAAAAAAAAAAACAAGAGCTCTTTAAAAAAAATAAAAAAACACCAAACAAGAAGAGATAGCGAGAGTGCGGCCATGTCAAAAGTGTTATTATACTCGTTAAGTAGTTAAAGCCCCGTTATTGTTAACGAGCTATGCTGGGGCTAAAGGTGGACGTGGAAACCCTCCAGCCACAAGAGAGATGGAAGTGCGCCGGGGAGATTGGGAGGAGCCACGGAGGACAGCCCGGATGATCTCGGGAGACAGATCCGGTGATGGGAAGACAGCGAGATGAAGAGAGTGTGAAAGAGAAAAAGATTGGAGAGAGGGGAAGAGATGCAGAAAGGTAAGACTAAAAGGGGATAAAGATGGCGCGTGGGATGAGTCGAACATGGATCGAGGTAAAAACGAGAGATGCTGAGAGGGAACGAGGGATGGAGGAGTGAAATGGAGAGTGGGAATTTAGCGATGGGCAGGATGGACCAGGTGATGGCGAGACAGAGTGAGGGCGGAGAGGAGTTGGAGGGAGGGAGACGACCCTTCAGTAAGGCTTGCCGTCGCTCTTGTTGCGCTTGAGCTGCACCTTGAGACGCTTCATGCCGATCTGGAAGCCGTTCATGGCCTGGATCGCAGCCTGGGCTGACACCGGGTTATCATAGCTCACGAAACCTGCACGGCCAGAGAGAACACAGGTGACAGGGACGAATACGAGTGATCAGCAAATGAGCGAGAGGCAGAGAAAGAGAGAAAGAAGATGGCTTTCGAGAGACCCTGCAATTGCTTCCTCATGCCGCTGAGAGTCGAAAATACCTCACTTGAGGGAGCTCTTGATGACACAAGAGAGCCCGATCTATTTGGCAGTCTCTTCGGGAAGCATTTGTTAGTTCCTTGTGTTCTTCCGACTTTAACCGACCCGTGGCAACACACAGCCAAGCACAGCATTGGACAAAGCAGGTGACGAAATACAACGGAGTCCTTGGCTCAAAGCACTCCGGTGTCTCCCATCGCAGCTACACACGAGTCTCTGCGTCCTCTCGTACAACTCAGCAGTCGGCTGATGCTCTAACAACCTCGATGTTCCCGTAGCCATTCTCACCAAAATTGAATCACGAGCTCACTTAAAAGTCTAAAGAACAAATCCAAGGAACGTTCGCATGATTCCAGACCTTCCCAATATCACGTCTGGCAGTAAATATTTCTATCGGGCACACACCCTCACTGTCTGTTTCAAAGCCATGCTGGTTTTCCCTTAAGTGTCATTATTTCCGCGAGTTTATCTTATTCAGCAATACCCTGATACACTCCTTCCATGGAATACACGGTGAACAACAAAGTCCTCTGCAGTTCTCACACTCTTCTCCATCTTCCTTAGAGCAGCCTCCTGCTGTGGCTTCCCGACATGATGCAGCTCGATTCTGATTTGCAATCCTTCCAGCGTAAAATGTTTTTTTTTACATCAACATCTCCGTGAACTTTAACTTCCTTAGCAGGCGTCAGCTGTTATACGGAAGCATTGAGCTCTTTCACTCCCTTTTCCAGCTCTTCAGCATTCTCTGCCCGTTGCGAATTACTCTTCACCAGTGGGCCTGCCGTTGCTCAGCGGACTTCTCGGCTGCACCAGCTCCGCCAACCCTCCAAGACGTCTTCCTCCCGTGACTGTTCCGTCGCTCATTTTTCCTACTGCTGGATGAAGTCCTCGCCACGCCGTGTCGGTTATGGCGATTGTTTGACCATACTTCACCCGCCGCTGGTCGATGCAGGCAGCCGAAGGGAGACCCAGGAGCGGCTCACAATATCACTCAGCACCGACGTTAGCCGTGGCTGGGCTCGTAGTGCCGTGCGCTAATCACAGCGTCATCGCTCCACCGCTCCCCGTGGCATTTGAACCCACTTTAGACTTGGTGCCTTCTTGTCCGGTGACGTCTCCTGAAAGTAGTTGAGCATGATGGCTGGTGCAGTGACAACCGACACAGCAGTTTTCATCAATAGGAGTATTTATTTCCTTAGGCACGATCTTCAAGGATTCCCTTCTCTCCATGTGTCCCGAACTCTCTTGCTTCCCATTTATACATTGCTCAAGCCCCTTCCTCGAAGGTTCCTTGACCTTCCACTTTCCCTCTAGCCAATCACCTTCCACTTTTCCTAACGGATTCCAACTGTCCTCCCTGTCAATTATCCTACGTTTCCCACTCTTTCCATTTGTATTTCTCCTCAAATCCCTTCAATTCCCTGCCTCGAACCAATCCCCTTTCAGGCCCATTGAGTACCAATCAGAGGGCTTGTTTTACTTCCTTACTGTCCGTATCATGCAGGCCGTGTCGATAACGTAGGGTGAGTATATTCGGTTGTGACTGAATCACTACAGTTGTACATCATCACAACTGCCCTCCAGAATAATAATCTTCTGCAGCCAAAGTTGGGTACGAAGGCTGCCACTGCTGCAACAACGCCTAAAAAAACCCTCGCTTAACCAAACACACGATTCGGCCACTGGCAGACACAACATCTTACGAAGCAAAGGAGTGAATGAGTGAGAATGAGGACACGCTGAGAGGACGGGAAGAGAGATTTTGTCTCGTGCGAGGAAGCGAAGTCGGGTGCAGTCCCCTCTTGCCATCCCCCGAAAGTGCTTTTTATTTGCGCTCGCCTGGGCTCGACACAACCGATTGAATTTCACGCAATGAGACATGTGCAGTGAACTGCCCCTCCACCACCACCACCTCGTGCCATCGGTGTGTTCAGCTTTTTTATCAAGAAACGCACGAATTTGGCCAGAGATGCGCACGTGCGTACAACGTCGAGACGTGCAATCGCAATTGGGTAATTTTCAGGTGATTTTTTTGTTCGCACTGGGATGTTTCGGTCAACGTCGGTTACATTGTACGTGTTTGTTTTTGTTTTTTTAGCCATGGGAAGAAACCGGAGAACCCAGAGAAGGCCCATGCACAACAGAGGGAGAACACACGTACAAATCCCACGTACAAAGGACGCCCAAGGTCAGGAATCGAACCGGCAAGGGACCGGCGTTGCTGCGGCGCCACCCTGCCGCATCGTCACCTTGACCCGCCCCCCCTTACGAACTGGCGTGGTGTCGAGAGCACCGATCGCTTGGGCTCGTGGCTCGGCTCGCGGCTCACCGAAGCACTTGCTGAGGTTGGTCTGCTTGTCGATGAACACCTTGGCCGAAATGACTGCGCCGAACGGCACGAACATCTGCATGAGGTCCTGGTCTCCAAACTCCTGGGGGAGGTGGTAGATGAACAGGTTCGCTCCCTCGGGGCCTGGCGCGACACAGAGACATACACGCGCAGACACACACGGACACACACACGGACACACACACAAGACGCACGGACATGGACGCACGGACGTGGACAGACGCAACACACACTTCTGGACGGAGACGCACGGACGCACAACCGATGGGCAAGATGGCTTACAACTCAAGTTAACAGACAACTGGATGCGTGGACAGAGGCAAAGACACAATTAGACGCACGGCGACGTAAACAAGAAAATGGACACACAAAGGTCGTAACAGATACGCGTGAAACACAAACACATTGGCATAAACACACAGACGCATGGATTTGTGCACAGAGACAAGTCTATCAGTACAAAGACGCCCGAAGGCAGATGCGCGCAAAGATGAACCACGCAGACGTCCGCAGGCTTTCACGATTGCACATAGACGCGTGGATGCAGACACACGGGCACAGCGACATGCAGAAGTAAACATGTGTGCAGGTGCATGCGCAAACAGACCAAGTGCAGAAGCACACACACACACACAAGGCCACACGTGCGTCCGAGTGCGGTAACGGCACAGCGTCGCGTCACATTTGCCAATCCGGCAGGCTTCGGTCGTCCGCTCGACGCGCGCTTGGAGGTGCGCGTGGCCCGCTTCAGCGTGACCAACGGCGTATTTTTGACAGCTCCAAAGAAGCCACGCGACGAGGCAGCGGGGCACGACACTGACGTCGCTAATCAGAAGCCAGGGGCCGCGTTTCCAATTAACAAAATATCCTGCAACGGTAACCTGTGCGGCGCAGGCATGACGGTAGGAATGTATACTCTTTGGTTCTTTCGGGTAAAGTCACATAGGTAGAAAAATAATAGATCACGACGTTTCGATCGCAACACAAGCAACCGTCTTCAGGTGAAAAAAAGAGGGGGAATCTGCTGAGGCAGAATGTTTATAAAGGTTTAGAGATGGCCGGGACAACTCATGTTCACGTAGGAGCGAGCAGGAGAGCGCAAGTAGGAGAGAGAAATTTGCTTGTAAATGTAGGAATGTGTTTTGAATTTTTAACCGAACTGTTATAATGCGATGTCGAACCAAACAAAAATACGTCGGCACCGTTTCTTTTATAACAATTTTTTTCAATGTTGCTCACTGCTGTCGCTCTGTTGAGACAGCGGTGAGAAAGACAGGCCTCGGGAGGAGGTGGGGGGGGATTAGGCCACCTGTGTACAGTGGCACATGCCCTGACAGGCATGGTGTGCGCGCACGTGCTCTGTGTCTAGGTAAGGGGAAAAAGTTGAACGAACATTTTGCAGAAAGGAAAAAGTAATCGCCACCCGATGCAAACAACCCTGACTGGGATAATTTTGGCCCCGATTTGTTTTGTTTTTTTACAAATGTTTACATAGATTATATGTTTACTCAAGGGGTTAATTCACATTTATGACTGCTGAAATCCTAGGTTTGAATCTGGCTCTAAGCCACTTTTGATTTATGCTAAGTTCTCAAAGTAATGGTCTCGGACGGCTCATTAATGTCTGTACACACACAGACACACAACACAAATCCCAGTTGTATTTCTTCGATGAAATCAGAATATTTCAGCTCTGAAGACTAAAACACGAGGTTTTTTTGAATGGCACGCGATGAAGACTGTTTAGAAGAAATCCGAAGGTGGCCAATTAGTGTGGATAATGGTTCTTTCTCAGCGACTTAAGAAAAATATTAATTTGATGTTACGTTTGCTTTCTATCACGATGCGATGCACTGCTGGCTACGGAAGATCTGAACAAATTTTGTTGGAGAAAAGTCCAGTATAGGCTGAAAGGCAAAGTTGCTTGTATGCAAGCAGGACGGACGCCCGTGTTCCTGCATGGATGTTGAGCTTCTTTCGCGCCGCCCATAGCGAACCGCGCTGATTGGAGGCACACGACGCTGCAATCGCTTGAGCAAAATCAGCGCCACCTTTACCATGGCTGCGGTAAAATGTGGAACAATGGCAAAACACTCTTGTCCCGAGAAAAAAGCACTGTCACCAATGATGCTATCATTTAAAAAAATTAATAGATTTTCATATCGGTGGCCACAGTTGGAAAGTCGGGATTTCTTCTCGGTAATATGAACATATATGTAGCTCCCTTGCTTTTTTTTTCCTTTTTTATTAACATTTTTTTGACTGTGGACTGGCAGCACCGGTGAGATTCTGCGTTCGAACCGAAACTGCTGCCACGAGGGAGCGAGTCAACTGGGTTCACAAGAGCAGCGCATCGACGGTCTCAGCCCAGACGTCAACGACTGCAGAGAGAACAACACTTCATGCATTTGGCTGCTCTGCGTTTCCATGTGATAAGCCGCTTCGTTGGGCGATCATTTGTGACCAGGTCGCGTTTGAAAAAGACCTCTATAGCAGCTCTGGGGGCCTTACTTGTAAAAAAATATATTTAAATCGAAATTTAAATCGAAAAATATATAGAGTTTAGTTTTTAACGTGGAGGCTTTTAGTTTCACATGAAACTTGGTTTTGTGCCGAATTGGCAAATATCCAGCTCCGAGACTTAAAATTATTGGCTTAACTGTCATGTGAAGAACATGTATGTATGCTCTTTGGGTCTTTCGGTAAAGTCACGTAGATAGAAAAATAATAACAAAATCACGACGTTTCGATCGCAGGACAAGCAATCGTCTTCAGGTGAAAAAAAAAACAGCAGGAGAACTGCTGAGGCAGAAGAAATATGACATGTATGTATGTATGTTGAACTTCTTGCAATGTACATAGCCAAGAGTGCGAATCGGACGTGCCGAAGATCACTCTGCAGTAGGGCAAATAGAAGAGTTCTGCCCCCTACAGCGTCGACCGGAGATCAATTATTCAGTTCTCAGAGGGAGCTATGTCAGGAGTGGGGAACGTCCGGCCCGCGGGCCATATAAGGCTCGCGAAATCATTCGGTGTGGCTCTGCCAAGCCAACCGCAGGCGGGACTCTAGATTCAATAAATCTAGGAGCAAACCTGGAAAAGCAGTTGCGAGTAGCAGCAACATCATCAATACCAGCTAACATCACACGCCTCGCCAAAGAGAAGCAGTTGCAGCCATCACATTAGGGGTGAGTTAATTAAACGTTTGACCAAATATAACAGGGCAAATTTTTAAGTTGATAATTTTCTATGGCCCGCGAATGATATTATAAATATCCAAATGGCCCTTGGCAGAAAAAGAGGTTCCCCACACCTGAGCTATGTGATACTCGCTTCCGCGGGCTGCTCTCAAACACAGAGGGTTGCGCGCACTGCTCTTGCGGGCGGAGTCGACCGGATACTCGTCTCCTGATGGCGCGATCGCAATCAAAATGAGCAACGAACATTTGACACGAAAAAGGCAAAGAGCCCCTACCCTCCTTCTGGCTGCCCGCCACTCCCTGGCTCTGCACCAGGTTGTGGCCGTAGAGGCCGGGCAGAGCAGAGGCGGCGTACTGCTGAATGCTGGAGTACGCCTGGTTCAGTGCATCCATACCGCCTCCTCCTCCGCCGCCGCCACCGCCTCCTCCCCCTCCACCGGCACCGCCCGTGCCATTGGAGAGACCCGAGCCCCCCAGGCCGCCATTGAGCGAGCCCATACCTAAGGGCATTTGATAATCAACAGCATCATCACCATCACCACCACCGCTTTATACGTATACCTCCCAGACAGGACATCTCGGGGCGCTCTACGGCAAGGGACAACCCCCCCCCCCCTCCCCCCGTGGCAGCTGTTCGTTTACGGCACCAGGTGAAACACAGCGCCGGCCCTGCAAGTGGGCATTAGTCTGCCAGTAGTGGGGGGCACTGGTGCTGTTTTGTTTGGATTTCCACAATTGTGTAAATTCTGAGCGATTTACCAAATTATTTTAAAATGCGGACCGTGACTTCGGCACACGCGGCCAACAATCTCATTAATGACAAAAACACGGGTTGTTAAATGTCCACTGCGAAGCAGACTGCGCGTATTTATGTTAAATAGACCTGCGGTGTTAACCAGGGGTGGTCACTGGGCTCGAACCGCGACCCTTTGCAACTAGAGGCAAACGCGCTGCCGCTGGGCTCACGTCCCCTAAACGACACTGCGTAGAGCTTAAAGAAGTACGATGCAAATTGAAAAACAACTGCGTGTTAGTCGCCTCGATTATTAACGGCGTATCGGTTCACGGCAAAAAAATCTGGCAAGCAACGGCAACTCCTGTAAAAATAAAACACATTTTTTTTTAAACGAATTTAATTAAGCCTCTCAAATCGAAAGCTTTTCAATAACGGGGGTTTCAATTCTTTCCTCCCCCCTCATGCGCCGCGGTACCTCACATGCAACAACGCCCCACCATGCACCACTCGTCGTGTTATCTGCGGGTAAACGGGGGGAGGGGTGTTTTTTCTCACCTTGCGAATGAAGGTGAAAGGACTCCAGTGCAGCTGTGGGTTAGTATCGAGGATGTGTGTTAGTATTGAACCTTCACGGATGCCCCACTCTCTGCAGCTGTGCGCACACGTGTACGCACATGTTACAGCCCTGCTGGTCAATCCACTTCTGGACGAGGGCCTCCCCACGCCGTGCGGGTCGCGGGGGTTAGTTTACCGGACTCGAACAACGCTGGGCATTGCCGGTTGTGAAAGGCGGGCAGCATTGGACGTGGCGGTGTAGAAGTAGAGTAACAGTAATGGATTTTACTGCACCGCCCTCTGATGCTCACCACGCAGCCCAGCAACAGCCTATCACAACCCGTTATACAGAGTGGTCATCCATCCAAGCACTATCCAGGCTCGACCCGACTTAGCTTCTGAGATCGGGCAAGACGAGGCACACTGAGGGCGATTTCATCGGAGGCAGTTGTAGGGGGCACTAACGTCGCGTAAATGAATCGTCGAGGAGATGTTCGTGTCCCTGTTATCACTTGGTCGCTCCTCTGTCTCTACCCGTTGTGGTCCGGGGCCGCTGATGGTGTGCCTAAAAGCCATGCTTTTCCCCTCTAGGAAACATTTCACGATGCCTAAAACTCATATTGGACAGCCTGGAGCACATGGCCTGTGTACGTATTAGAGGGTGTGATGATGTGCCGATTAGATTTTTTTAAACCTTTATATATTATAGGCATCCGATTGCGTTCGTGAGCATCAACGTTTTTGAGATTGAGAAAAATAAACAATCGGCTCTCCAATGGAATCGCGAACCGCGAATTGCGACGGCCAAAACCGAATCGTCACAGTCCCGGTGCACGTGACAATACGCGCCACGTGCGTGTCTCCCTCACGTGAGGACGATTATCCCAACGGTCTCTTGATTGCAAACTATTAATAAATTACGTGACGTATGTACGCACGTACGTACGTACTCTGGACTTCTTTCGCGCCGTACATAGCGAAGCGTGCTAATCGAAGGTGCACAAAAATTCCGATTGCCGTATATATGTACGGCCATGGCCGGAGCGCAAAATCGTCGACGGTGTGGGGCGCGTTGTGCGCGGGGGAGAATATCGACGGCGCAGAGGCTGCCAGGCTTAAGCAACCATCCCAACACCGGTGGCTCCATCTGTGGCGCCACGACGCACGCGACGCTGCGCGCTGTCAATTTGTGTACGTGAACCATGGCCTGGGCCTCCTCTTTGCGTCGACTCGACCTCAAATGATTGCCCAGCGCAGCGTGGACGATTGTCGCCAGCACCACCGGGGAGACGGGGGAGCACACGGTGTGCGGACTGAAATAAGTTGATCGCTCCCGGCACTTGCCCCCACAGCTGAAGAGACTCAATTTGTGGGAGGGGGGGGCACGGGGGGGAGGTGATCTCTGTGCGCTAATGCACGCGCCGACAAATACTGTGGCCCTGTGGCTGCTGCGGCAAGAAACAAAATGCGTATTGTGTGCAGGGGGCGTCATTTCTCACTCGGTATTTTCTGGGTCACCGGTAAACCGGGCGAAGTAGGCACGTGATGGGAGAGATATAGCTGTAGTGAGAGAGGGATATGATGGATGTGGCGTGCCTGGCGTGGAAATATTTTTCAGTGTCGGTGACCCGGACAGATCCCGGATCGTAAGCACTCATTACGGTTTCACGAGCCCAGACCGAGTCTTTCACTTCCCCCGGGTAGCACCTGAGGTGGAATGACTTGTGGTTCCAAGTTTGCTCTTTATTAGGATTGTAAATCAATTGGTACGACTAAAGTTTTGCAACCTTAGGCGGTACCGATGTCTGCACCAGCCCATGGATGACGAATGTGAAACAGGGGGCTGCTGCCTCATCACAGCAGCGACGGATGTCAACGGCGTCTGGGAGGGAAGGGGATTTGTCACGAGTGGCATCGACTGTGAGGGGTCGGCCTGGTTCCGTCCTCTACCTAAAATCGCCCTCACCCCCCCCCGCCCCCGATTTACCTGCCAGGGCGCCCATGGTGCTGAGCGCCGAGTTTCCCCCAAGGCCCTGCAGCCCGGCCAGCGAGCCCATGGAGCCCACACCAGAGCTGGAGGAGCTGGAGGAGCTGCCACCTGGAGCGCGTGACAGCCGTGCACACGCACACACACGCACCGACACACACACACGCACACACACACACGCACCGACACACACACACACGCACCGACACACACACACACACGCACGCACACACGCACCAACACACACACACGCACCGACACACAAACACGCACCGACACACACACGCACCGACACACACACGCACCGATATACACGCACACACACACGCACGCACACCTCCGATTAACGCGGTTGGCTACGTACGGTGCGAAAGAAGTTCAACGTACATACACATATGCCACCGTGCATGTATCCGCGTGTACCACTAATTACGCGTATCCATCTGCTCCCACTTGGGTGCGTCCTCCTTATGCGTGTGCCCACTATGGGGAGCGGCGGTGCAGTGGTTGACGCACTGTGCTACGAACACGGCCATTCAACGCACGTACATGCGCATGTACAGAGCGCACCCTCTGATGAAACTTGGTAGACCGTGAGATGTAAAGCGTTCAGGTTGATTGTTGGTTCGGCATGATGATGATAAAAACTAAGATTAGGCTTTGACCTTTTCTGGCAATAACGCGGGTGTTGAGGTGTTCAAACATCGAGTCTGCATCAACAACACGCACTTGTGGCAAAACATGTAAAACAAACGCGCTCCGATAATCATATCTGCATTGTCTTTGAAACTGATTCAGCACTCGCAGATGCACTCCACTGACTTGCGGTTTGTCACCTCCTTATCACACTTCTTTTGCTACGACTACTCCAGTGACTGTTCCCATGTGCTTCACTCACTGATTGCTCCACCAATGTTGTGAACTCGGTCTACCAGACTAACTGTTTTGTCTCATTCGTCACACTGTGTTCATCCACTCAACACCCTGCAGGTCACAACAACAACAACAACACACTCACTCATTCACCCACTCACTCACCCACCCACCGACCCACTCACCCACCCACCCACCGACCCACTCACCACCACAATACAGGTCACAACAACGCACTCACTCATCCACTCACTCACTCACTCACGCACTCACCCACCTACCCACCACCACACTGCAGGTCCCAACGTTTCTGTTTCTGCTTCAATCTTCGCATTGCTCAACATTTGAATTCCCTCGTATCGTCTCCTTACAATAACCTTGCTCAATTCAAAAAACGTGTCTACCTACAGCACCTTCAATCGTGCCGTTTGTTGCTGGATGCTTGGCATTTCTGGATTGTGGATCCGTGCTCAGTAACCGTAAAAGTGCTGCAAGCAATCATCTGTGTGCGGTAGATATATATACACACACACACACCCCCACCATACAAAGACAAAGATCCCCCGTGTAGCCTTAACATACTGTTGGGGCAAGTGCTGTTGGCGAGCACCTATGAAGGCCGCTACATACTACACACACACACACACACAATCCAATGGAAACGAACTACATAAAATGTTGTAACAACTTAAACAAGGCGCGGTGTGCACAGTGCCGTCTGGCGAGGGACTGTTAACGCCAGGTAAATGGCGATCACAGTAGCCGGCACTGGCGACGCTGCATGGTAGGGCACACCGCACAGAGCGCTCGTTTTAATCTAGCCTGATGTGGAACAGACAGCCAGGCCAGTTGCACACATCACTCGCCCCCAGTGTTGCGCTTGAGCAGAAATAATCCCAGGGCAGGGGGCTCATCTCGGGGAGAATGAGATGTCTACGCCATTGCTCCGCACACAAAGTCACAAACGCGGGTGTGAGTGTGCACGGGCCAAAAAATCACGAGAAATAAAAAGTTCGGACGTACAGGCTTTGCTGGGGCGACTGCCGTACAAAGGCCACCACACAGACGGTGCTGGCCAGCGCTGCCTTCAGCCGTTGTTTGTCCCCACCACTGTGAATTTTGACACTTCATCAGCGACTCATTTCAAACCGAGTCGGTTCCAATTGGGGGAGGCCCCGGTGAGTTTCAGATACGGATTTTCCAAGGTATTGCATGCGGCAATGTTCGTAAACCCTGCTCTCTGTTAATACAGCGCAGTGCGTGAACTGGCGTGTCACCTCCCATCAAGCTTGCACACACACAAATGCACACACACACACGTAAAAAAGTCAAAGTTTCCCCGTATAACAGGCTATTGGGGCAAATGCTGTTAGTCGGCACCTATGAAGGCCGGCACACCACATGAGGGGGTGGGTGGCCAGCACCGTACCCGGCCGCCTTTGTCTCCCTCGTGGCGATGTCTACACATTGCACCAGGTACTCATTTGAGGCCGATTCGACCTAGGAGAGGCCCAGGACCGGTTCAGATAATCGTCACCGGTATTGGCCGTGAGCGTGACAGGAGCCCGGGTCGCCGGGTTCGTAGCGCAGCGTGGCGCTACCCGCTACACTACCGCTCCCATATGCACACAGGACACGCGGAAGACCAAAGACACCCCCACTCCCATGGCGCACTCTGTGCATACACACAAAAGGATAGACGCATTACCAACGAAACAAAAAAAGCAGGGCACACGCGGGGTCGGGGGGGGGGGCCGGGGGCGGGGATGCTGCGTTGAAAATATTCACTCACAATCAAAGGATTCGCTCACGCAGAATTTATGCATCCTTAGCCATCGAGCCGAGCGCCGGGGCTTCTGAGCTGCGCGCACCACCGCCGCCAGCGCGTCGTGCCAAGCCCTACCGCACCGTGCCACTCTCCCGGTGTCAAATCCACCGCAGTGTCACTGCTGCCTCAGTGTTCCGGAGCAAACCACCGCTGTCGGACTCGTCTCACCGGGACCCATTGGTGCTGAGTGTGGGGCAGACCTGGGCCCAATTAGCATTATATTCAGGTTTAGCATTGCGAGCCGAAATTACGACTGCCGTACATGTGCGGTACATAAGGCACCCTTTGCACACAGATATTACACCTGCGTACAGAGATATGAGTCGATAATACAGTGTGCTTCAAAGAACACTTAAATGGGACGATCGTTTTTAATGGAAAAGGAACGCATAATACACTGCAACTTGATAACCATTGTAATGTTAATAGCTTTAAAAAGTCAAAGAGTCTCCCACTTGTTCGCCATCATTGTCAACACGTGCCTGGAATCTTCTCCAGGTGGTCTCCAGAGCCCGGAGGCCTCATTTCTCGTGGTATTATTGCAAATTGTCAGAAGTGTTATGCTGAGTGCGTTTCTTACCGGCACCTCCGAGAGCGCCGAGGCCACCCGTGGATGAGCCGAGTCCGCCGCCCGAGGACCCCGAGCCGGGAGACTGTGACGCAGCTGCTGCTGCCAAAGCCAAGAGGTTCTGCAGCTGAATGGCGTTGAGACCTTAGTGCAGAGACAGAGACAGAGATGCCCCCGTATGGCCTTAGCAGACTGTTGGGGCAATCGCTGTTGGAGAGCACCTATGAAGGCTGGCACGGCAACACGAGGGGGCGGGTGGGCGGCACCACGCTCGGCCGCCTTTGTCTCCCGAGTGCTGATGTTTACACACTGCACCAGGTACTTGTTTTGAGGCTGAGTCGACCTAGGGAAGGCCTAGGACGAATACAGATAATCGTCACCGTTGTTGGCCGTGAGCGGGAATCGAACCCTGGTCACCGGGTTCGTAGCGCAGCGTGCTAACCGTTACGCTACCGCACACGACTTTAGTGCGTGCACACAAACACACGGATCGCTCATGCAATGGTTGAGAATGTTGCGGAAAGTTTTATACGGCACTCAATAGGGACGAAGAACACGCCAGAACTATTGGATAATTTTAGCTGGGTCTGTCTGGGTCAGCGACCCGGAAAGTATTTCCGCAACCGGCACACCACAAATAAGCATACCTCTTGTTCTGGCTGCGGTTACGAGATGTGTAGGGATACACACACACACAAATATTCACACATAGACATGCGCGCACAGATACCGATACACACACACACAGCGACCTGGAAAATATTCAGTGAGAAACATGGCCAGAGTCGTGCATGCCTGACTGGCTTTACTGGCTATGATGATGTTTACTGGGTATTCAATTTAGGCCGAGGTGACGCATTCGAGGCTCAGATGGGGTTCAGATACCATTTGCCAGCGGTGTTGTGCAAGGCCATGAATGATTGCAAGGATCACAAGACTGGATCGCGTCAGAAATGAAGACGTGACGGAGAAGGGCAAGAGAGCTGTATTTTCTCACGCAATCTAATGGGACTCCTCAGATGGCGACGGCGTGAGAAGCGAAGGACACCACCGGGAGAAGAAAGGTCACGAACGGGGAGACACTCGGGTGGAGACAGAGAGGCGGACAAAGACAAAGAGAGGTTCGAAACTGTGAACCAGAATGTGAAGGAATGTGGAATGGACGTGGAAATGGCCCAGGACAGGAGTGAGTGGACAGAGAAAGGAAGACCCCCCCGAGAGTGGGGACGGATGCCAGTTGAAAAAAAACGAAGCTAGCTCTACGCCCTAAACGTCAACATGCATAATGGGGGGGGACATGGATTGGTCGTGCAGTTGTTTGTGTGACGTGCTTTGCATCTCGCCGACCAGTGACAGAATCCCGGCCATGGGCTAGCATCGGTGGCCATGGGCTAACATCGGTGGCCATGGGCTAGCATCGGTGGCCATGGGCTAGCATCGGTGGCCATGGGCTAGCATCGGCGGCCATGGACTAGCATCGGAGGCCATGGGCTAACATCGGTGGCCATGGGCTAGCATCGGCGGCCATGGGCTAGCATCGGTGGCCATGGGCTAGCATCGGTGGCCATGGGCTAACATCGGTGGCCATGGGCTAGCATCGGTGGCCATGGGCTAACATCGGTGGCCATGGGCTAACATCAGTGGCCATGGGCTAGCATCGGTGGCGAGTGATATCTGAACGGATCCTGGGCCCTCCGCCTTCGCCGACCTGCACTGACCAGAGCAGTGAGGTCCAACAGACCCCCGCCACCAACACACGGCATGGGGGAGACACTCATCCAGCGGCGTATCGACAAAATGGCTGTAAATAATTAAATATTAATAATAATGAATTGTTAATTCCAATAATTATTGTGCAGGGAACCTCATTGACAATTTTCTTGTATTTTAAAAAGAAAACGAAAATATTACCACCGTCGAATCTCGGTGATCAACCGATACACTCGACTGCGATGCGAGACGTCCCTCCAAACGACTCTGCCACCATGCGAATGTCAACGTGGCCTTCGGACCTGATAACAGCTGGCTCGGTGCTTCTGACAACCGTTGGCATGAGCAATAGATCCCTGCAAGCTGCGAACGCTGCGTCAGTGCTCCAACAGCTTAAGCCTGCGTATGCGCCCATGCTCTTGCATCAATGTATTTATTGTTTACGGCGGCTGGGCAGAGCTTAGCGGTTTGTGCGCTTGATACAGAGCCAGTTTTGCAGAGTCAAACATTTTCATTCCTGATCGCAGCCACAGGGTTATTTTGGCAGGAGCCGGTGTCGCCCCAGCGTGTCGTCCGCTGTATCAGACGGCGTGAAAACAGACCTTCACGTGCTTCAATCCTAGACCAAGTCCCGACTGCAGAAATGAACCTAAATTAGCAAGCGCAGTCATCTCGACTTCAGAGGTTGCGATGTAAGCAGCATGGATCTGCCAAGTTTAATACCGTCTGTTAGTCCCTTTGCTGATCATACGCAGGCCTCCGCGAGCCGTCGCCATCTGACACAGTCACGTGATCTAAAAAACCCGTCGACCAGCCGCACACGAGCTGGCTCCATCCCTCCTTTGGCTCCCACTCCGTCGACAGTCTTAACCACCAGGCCATCGTGCCATCTACAGCGACGTGTGTCCCGTCCCAAGCTCACTAACGTCTCTCACTTGGGGCATGTTCTATAATCCACGCGTTATTCCAAGTATGAACCTCTCCACGTTTCTTTGAACACTTTTCGGATATTGTTCTCTTTTTTTCTGTAGAGTACATGTAGAGTAGAACTCCTGCTAGTGCGTAGCGCCTATGAAGGCCGTCACGGCACACGAGGGGGTGGCCCGGCCATGCGCCACGCCCGGCCAGCCTTTGTACTCAATTGAGGTTGAGTCGACTTACGGAAGGCCCCGAACTAGTTCAGATGATCGTCACTGATGTTGACTGTGAGAAGGACTCGAACCCGGATCGCTGGGTTCGTAACGCAGTGCGGTAACCGCCTGCACTACCACTCCTCACGACATTTGAGTCTGACACGCAAACACACGTACGTTTGTGGATAATGCCAATTACTAAATATCCACGTGGCTTTTGTGTAAGTTCACACGAGGGCCGAAGTGGGCACTCCGCGGGCTGCAGAAATAGAACGTTGAAATCGTAGACGGGGCCGCAGACCCTGAGGCTCATGCAAGCTGCTACTGGGCATTTGCTAAGTTTCTGCACTCGTGCAACGACAGCAGAAGTGAGAGAGACAAAAAAATGGGGCAACGAGCAGTGGCAGGGAGTAAGGCAAACGAGCAGTGTCGAGTTTCGTACAGTGGAGCAGGTTGCCACGATTGGAAGCGCAGTTGCTGCATCAGCCAGTCAAACGTGCTATCCAAAAAACCTGAATCTGTGGCATAACCATGCTGCTAATGAGCCTCTGCCATGTCACGTGGCCTCGCAGTGCACCTATCCTGACATCGCTTAAGTATGTATTTCGCACCATACGTAACCAACCGTGCTAATTGTGTGTGTGTGTGTGATTCCCCGCTCACCGGCCATCTGCTGGAGGCTCCCGTAGGCTCCCAGATTTCCTGTAGCGGCTGCCTGCAGAAGCTGCAGGTAAAGCTGAGCGCGCACAGAGAGGGAAGGCAGCGGGCGAAACAGGGAAGGGATAAGATTTAGTGACTGGATGCCGGTATTCAGGAATCTTGGAGTGTGTGCATGTTGAATTTCTTTTGCACCGTACGTAGCCAACCGTGTTTATCGGACAACTAACTAAGCACAAAAAGCAGTTCTAAAGAAATTAGTTTTCAATGCAGATTTAAAAGTGCATAGCTCCAGTGGCTTCCTAATATTGGAAGGAAGAGCGTTCCAGACGGCCGCAGAAGCGCATCTGAAAGCGCGCAATGCGGTCTTTGTTCGATGTGTGTGTGTGGTAGTTTCATTTCTGAGTCAGACAGATGGACTCTCTCACAGCATGCATGACCCAGAGCTGTTAAAAAGAACCCAGAACGGGCATATTCCAGGTGTGTTAATTTTGCGCAAAAAAAACTACAACTGAAAAATTACACTTGGTTTGCCGCATATGAAAAATCTATGAAATTTTTAACTAGGGTTATAAAAAATAACATCCATGAGAGCCTACGAGCTTGACGGCGGCCATTGACGTCAAACGTGCGTGTCCCCGTAAGTGAACTCAGATGAAAGTACTCAATCGGGGAAGGACGTGGCAACGTCGCTGCACACACTGCGCGAGACGATAGCAGACTGCGTGCAACGTAGCTGCTGTCGTCGTGTGCAGCCTTGGCGCTGCAAGAATGGCGCAAACGCCAAAGCATTCTCATTGTTACCCAGGCCCAAACCCGGCGTGTTGGCTTCTGAGACGGAAGGATATGGGCCGCAATTACGGTGGGATTTGGCCAGTCGATTCAAGCGGAGCTTGCCTGACCTCTCGTCTCCGTCCCGGCGGATTGCAAGATCGCGATGTCGCATTTGGAAGTTCTGATCTCGTCTGGCATTGTGAAGTTGTGGTTTAAATTTTTTTTTTTTATCACAATCTTCCTTGTACATGAACATAGGAAAGTTGGGATGAGGAGCAATGTCGTTGTGTTGGGCATGGAAAAAGCTTCAGCGTGTATTTGTTTACTTATTTATGAGTAAATATGTCAAGTCTAAGACTCAACAGAAAACGGCAAGTTGTCCTGTGATGCGAGTCCGTGGACCGAGTATTCCACACACTCAACCAAATTCGTACAATAAATGAAAATGTACAAATAAGGGGCGACGTTTTGGGCAAACGGCCATTCTTCACGGCACACAGGGAGGCCACTCTTAGCCACCCACCTCCCTTGCCCCCTCCGCGTGCTGTGAAGAAGGAGCATTGTCCCCAAAAGAACGTCGCCTAGTGAATACTTTGTCTTTTTTGTAAGGCAGCGTTAAACTGACGAATGCGTCGAGTTCTCTGCTATTCGTCCGAGTGGGCCGCCGACGCCGCCGCGAGTATCACCGTATGCATTTGTGTACGCAAATAGGGGTTCGCGGAAACGTTCACCTAAGAGCTCGTGGCAGAGTGTGGCTGTAGAATGTCCCCCGGGGGGGTGGGGGCTACAGGGGGTCATGGATTATAGGATGACAAACGAGATGAGTTTCACTTGGCGCGTTTTAATTTACTTCAAAAGGTCTTAAATCATCAATAGTTTTCAAGTTTAGTGCTACGGCGTTCCAGTATTTCGACAGAACAGCTGCTGAACCATCAATCTGCCAATATCACTATTCAAAGTTGGCACTACATATAATGACGCACATCTGCACGCGTGTGTCCGTGCACCCCTGTGTGTGCGTGCGTGCGTACTGAATGTCCCTGTATGCAAAGCGTCTGCGTGCCTCGCTCCTTGCACACAACTTCTTTCTCTTGAGGCCTCTGCCCAATAGAGGGTCCTCGGCTCAACTAGATCCTGAACTGATACCGAGCTCCTCATTCCCAACATCCTTCCTTTCGGGAACGTCCGTCCCTCTCGCTTTCACAACTGAGAATGTCCCCGATCCACGTCCCCCGCATTTTGCCTTCATCGGTTTAACAGCGCACAAACTGGATTCAGATACAGTCTCAATGCGACCGCAGCCTCGGCTGGGGCGCATTTATTTCACAAAGAGGGGCGGCCGTTCACAGGCGGAGGAACAGGGGAGGGGGGCCTTGAGCCTGGGGAATTGAACAGGGGCAGGGAGGTCGACCAAACAGGGACGGCGGCTGGTCGCACGCCCACTCACCGCCAGGTACTGCGGTGCCAGCGCACCCATGCCGGCCATGCCACCCCAGGCGTTGAGTTGCTGCATCTGCTGCGAGATCTGCTGCTGCAGCCTTTTGTGCTCCTTGTCCTTCTGCGTGTCGGCGAACTTGACGACGAGCGGTGCCGAGCAGCCCTGCGTGGAAGTGGAGGGCCATTACGACGAGGCCGGCGGCAAATGACCAGGCAATGACGTCATTTGACCAGGTAAATGACCAGGCAATGACGTCATTTGACCAGGTAAATGACCAGGCAATGACGTCATTTGCGGGGGGGGGGGGGGAACATCTCACGTTGCAGTCGAGCGTTTCGGTTGCTAAGCGAGATATGATTATGGTAATCATGAATTATTAAACGTATAAATTTATAAAATACGAGACAATTTACGTGATTCCAGCACAATAATAATTGGAATTCAGCAATGAATGATTCTTAATATTTTATTATTTACAGGAATTTTGTCGATCCGCCGCTGGATGGATGCCTCACCCATGCCGTGTGTTAGTGTTGGTGGTCTGTTTGACCTCACTGCGCTGGTCAGTGCAGGTTGGTGAAGGCGGAGGGCCTCAGGATCGGTTCAGATATCACTCGCCACCCTTGTTACCCCGTGGCCGGGAATCCGTCGCGACTAGATTGGTATTCGAAATGCATTTCGACAGAAGGATTCTGCATCCTCGACTGGCCTCGGAGAGTCACCAACGCTGCACGTAGAAGAAGACCTGATGATGCAGGCCTGGACCGCAGCGGGACACTGGAACGGTGGGGATGAGGTGTGCCTGTAAGGCGCTTTGAAATGCCGACGCAAAGCATCCCTATAAACGCCAATGCTCCACCTTACCCAATAAACACGGGCACTATTTTAATTAACACGCGGCCATCAATGGTGGTTTTCAGTATGTGTTTGTACGAAAGGTTGAACTTCTGTCGCACCGTACGTAGCCAAGCGTGCTAATCGGAGGTGCGGGAAGCTAAGCAGGATATTTTGGACCTGGATCCTGCTTGGAAGGGTGGATATACGTGGTGGGCCGGTGTACGAGACCATTATTCTCCCACATCTATGCTCCCTATCTTTATGAATCCATAATCGCCAGCATGGCTACGCGCTGTCAAATAACCCCCGCGGTTGTACGACAACAGGTTTCACTCAACTTCAAAGAGACAACTACGGCCTTGAAAGTGTCGAGGTGTGGCAAGACGTTGAGGGGATGTGGGGAGACTTTGGACGTGCACGGAGGTCAGGTCACATTGAGAGGAATTGAGGAGGCCGAGATAACTCATGGTGTCGTATCAGACTTGGAGACCGAACGTGTTTAACAATAATCATGAAATGTATAATGCGCCAGATCTTTCACACAAGTCAACAACTCAGAGGCCAGGGCTGCTCATAAGCCTGACCCAACAGATAGGCCTTTAGATGTTTCTTGAAAGTCAGAGTGCATTTATGTTGCCGATGTGCAAAGGGATAAGAGAGTTTCACACCGAGGGGCGACAGCAGAGAACGGACGTGAGGCTGTAACAGTTGGAGAACTTGATATCTAAAGCAGATTTTGAGTGACGCTGCGTATGGTTCTACCACGAGCCTTTAGTGCAAGGTGAGAGAAGCGAGGTGTGGTGGGGGACCGGTGGTGAAGGCGCGATGATAAAGGCAGGCGAATTTATACTTTTTTTTGCATCGGGAGGTCTACGTGTGGAGCATTCGGGGAGTTTGATTGGGGAAGGATTTAAGGAAGTTTGGCGAGGGGTTAGAGGGCCAGCTAGACAGATTGTCGGGGCGTGATGAGGTCTAGGAATCTGTCAGGGAGGGTTTTTTGACGAGTGCTCTTTGCGGGTATGGGGAGTGCTGGCGAGGTCACGGCAGTTGATAGCAGGATACCGGTTGTAGAGCCGTCGCTTTACTCACCTCCATGGTCTGGGATTGGTGCATCGCCTTGATGGCATTCAACGCCATGGCTCTCGTGGAAAACGTTACAAAAGCACAACCTGTACGGACACGAAACAAATAACGACAACAACAACAGCAATGACAATTACAATGTGGTGGCGTCCTAACTACGCCCGCGCCTCAAGACGCTGGACAGATGCAGCGGAACACGTTTTGAGCGCAAACGTCTGAACGAAAACAACCGCCAGGGACAATGTGAGGACGGAGACCGCCACCATCGCCGACTTGCACACCGCGCTCTTATTTTACACGAACATGAACCACATCGTCATAATCCGGTTACGTGAAGGTGGTATTTTAGTGTATCACGCAGAGACTGAGCCGCCACGTGCGAGGGCGCGTGACTTTCCGAACGATCTCCACGGCTGTCAATCGGAAACCTCGACACTTGAGAGGCGCCGGTCCGAGGGAAGAAAGTTCAAGGACGTCTCTAAACTCTCGCTGTCTCTATAAACCCATCACCTAATCTCTAAATCCCTCACCAATAGGTTCCCTCGCCCGGCATGGCTCTATCAAAATTACCTCCGGCCCTTCTCTCCGGACCGTGCGTCTTTGCGAGGAAAGAGATTGGCAGAGAGGCAAAACCATGAAACTACGCCCCCCCCCCCTGCCCTGCCCCCTCCGCCTCCCCGGCGTCGTGCGGCATAACCTGCCGCCAACACTCCGCTTTCCCGGAGTCCGGTGCAAAAAAAAAATCGCTGCCCTCCACCGAAGCGAAGAAGCCGACCCGGCAGTGTCACCTGACGCGAGCGAGCCGCTACCTCTCCTGACGCTGCCCTCGCTCGGAGGAGCGCTTGCCTAAGTCCAGCCACCCCCCCCCACGCCCCCCCCCCACGCCCCCCCCACGCCCCCCCCACTCCCCCCCCACTCCCCCCCACACCCCCGCTTAAACCAATCCAGCATCTCGTGGCCTATTCTGGCAATGCGATGGGCTGCCTGACAAAACATTTTGTCTCTGTGCCTCTGCTGCGCAAGCAGCACGCCTCCCACACGAGCAACCCCGGTGCCTTGGGAAGGGGAAGTCACTATTCTTTGGGTCTTCTGGTAAAGTCACGTAGATAGGTTCAAAGAAAATAACAAAAAATAACAAAAAACTACGACGCTTCGATCACGACACAAGCGGTCGTCATCAGGTCGAGACCAGGAGAGATGACGACCGCTTGTGTTGCGAGCGAAACGTCGTAGTTTGAAAAAAAAAGTCTCGTTATTTTCTTTGAACCTATTTACGTGACTTTACCGAAAGACCCAAAGAATATGAATTCCTGCAGTCACGAAAGCTTTAAGTCAAGGGGAAGTGAAGCTTTCGTGACTGCAAGGATTCATATTCTTAGGTTTTTTCGGTAAAGTCACGTAGGTAAAAAATTTAAATGAAAATTAATAAAAGTAAAATAAAAAATAAAATAAAAATCACGATGTATCTTACTTGATATAGCTATCGTGCTGTGACGGTTCCACCTGACGACGGAGGCTTGTGTTGCCTCCGAAACGTCGTGATTTTTATTTTATTTTTATTTTACTTTTATTAATTTTTATTTTTTACCTACGTGACTTTACCGAAAAAACCTAAGAATATCAAGGGGAAGTCACCGTTTACCGATGCGACCGCGGTGGCGTTGTTGAAGCGCCGCCGACCCTTCCAGCGCGCCCGGAAACGTCGTCCGGAGCTCCTCGCCGAATTACTCCCGAGCTCGAGGAAGTTTACACTTGGCCACAAAAATCTGCACGGAACCATTGACCCTGATCTGTCAATCAAAGTAAGTGATTCCCCCCCCCCGACTCACCCACCTAGCACCGCTGCCTGACGTTGGTCTCTGTTCCACGGTTGTAATAACATTTTAGATTGCCTCACCGGCACCAAAAGTCCCTCTTTGGCAGCACTCGAGAGAATCGATGCCCTCGGGGGGATCTCCCCCACATTTCATTGGGTCCACTGCTGCAATAAACACCGCTGAAGTGCGCTGACGAAACACACCTGGGATTTGTAGAGTGTCCAAATGTAACCGTTGCCTCAAGGGACTCGGTGTACGCAACGGTGGCAACTTGGCACCCTGGTGAAAGGAGGTCATGCCTACTTTATAGTTTTCTCAAGGGAAAGGGGCGGGCGGTCACAGGCAGCGGAAAAAGAGGAATCTCCTGAGCCTGGACTTGAACAGGGGCAGAGAGCTGTACTATGGAAGTTAATTGAAAGGGGAAGGCCCTTGGCCTGGAGCTGAACAGGGTGCAGGAGTCGGCTGGGAGAAAGGGGAGTCTCAGAGCCCCAGGGGCGGCGGAGGAGAACGAGTGACCTCCCACTCAGCCAATATCACTTGACGTTGATAATACTGGTGGCCGAGAATCGAATTCGGCTCGCCGGGAGCTGTAGCTCAGTGCGCCAACCACCACTCTATAGGTACGGTGTACACACACGCGCGCGCAGACTAGAATGTGTTTGAGAAAAGTAATCTTTTGTGTTAATAGATTTCCACCCCACGTCTATTTCTATGCCACTCTTCAGCAGTTTGGGGTTCTCTCCCGTTCCTTCTCACCTCGATGATACGAACTGTATCCCAATGTCTTTCAATAAGATGGCAATGGCTTGCAGACGTATTCATTCGGCAGTGGATTGATCATGTATGATGATGGTTTTTAGACAATAAATTGGTGCTATAAATGATCGTGAACAATAAGGCCCTGTGTTTTCACAGTCACTTAAAATAGCCTGGAGAGACCTTCATCCAGCAGTGGATTGATGATGGCCAAAGATGATGATGATTTTTGTCACAAAAGAGTGCTTTGCCTGATCAGGAATAATGTGATTCTGTGTTTAACACCGTCACTTACAATCAGTTGTTTACCGTACACAGTGTATGTAAATGAACTTGACGAAGTTTCTCAAAAAAATGTAATCAAATTGTCGGAAGTTGGCAATAATTACCGGAAATGTATCATTCTAGGTGTGTGCGCGATATGTCTTAATTAGCGCATAATCTGGATTCAACGCATCACACAAACCGCATTTGCCTTCATGCACCAGATGTTACTAGGCAATACAATTGATGAAATATGATGCAACCCCCCCCCCCATCAAAATAACTTTTACACAAAGATGTAATTAAAAAAACTACATTTAAATAAAACATTAATTAACCCTTCTGAGCCATATTGACACATTTAGGCAACACTTCCACCATGTGATGCCAAACAATGCTACAAAGCAATAATAATAATAACGAAGCAAGAAAATATGTAAATTGTGTAATTAAATTCCAATTCCGAGTCATATTTTTAACCACTAATGAACTATGAATGCAAGCATTAAAAAAAACATTTGCCAGCAACTGTAGAAGTGAATAAGACTGTAGTTTTTTTTTTAACAAAAGCAATCTGATGTAATATCCTCAGACACGATTGTGTTAAAGCTAAACGGACATTGCCGATTATCTCCAATGTCGGCAACAGGTTCTGGAATTTAAGTTTAAGATATATTGGCCAGGTGTAGAAAAGGCCCGTACTGTGTTTCGCAAATTCATAGATGAATTTCATGAAGAAGAGTAGTTGTGTTTCCATTTTACGCGACAAAACCTCGAATGTTTCTTGTTTCTCCCATGGTCCTCGGGCCTCCTCTTACCAACCCACATTGTGGTGAAGTATGGTCAAAGAACCCAAACCCTCGCCCTCCACCATCCCAACGGACCGAGTGTGGGGAGGCCTTCATCCAGTAGTGACTTGACAAAACCCTTTAAACTGCGTTCTTTGCTATCCTCCTCACTACGAAATAAATAAAAAGAAAGTATTTTGGGTAATGCTGCATTGGCAGTGGCGCACAAGCACATCCGTTGATAACGATGCCTTAAAAGAAAAATATAATAGGCAATGTTTTGGGGCAATGGCCTTTTTTCATAGAACATGAAATACTCTCGCGGTCTTTATGTACGATGAAGAACGCCCATTGCCTGAAACGGTGTCTATTATATATATTTTTAATATGCGTAATGTTTTTTATATATATTTTATCCTTTCAAAAGCGGTGTTATTGATATAAATGTTTAAAAATAAATATTCTCAAACGATTTCTGAACCAAAAGGCATCAACTTCAATGAAATACAAACAAATCACGATTAACAATGCCTCGCTGGATCTCCGGGAAAATAAAAAAAATCGATTCACGCAAAACAAAAACTCTTGAGAAAGTTAAACTTCTGAGCTGTCCAGGCGGCTATGAGGTCATACAGAGCACTTAGTCGGCAGCACGCAAATACCCCGTGTGTGAATGTGGGTAGCTCCCCCATTTGACTCAGTACACGAGTCTGTACGGTCTCAGCTCAGTCACCAAGATGGAACGTACTCATGATAGAAGCCCAAAAAAACTGCTCCTGACGCGGTTGTTGTCTGGCTTGACCACCTGAATGTGAAATTGTCGTTGATGCTCTGCATCCACATCGGCCGTACGAAAGAAGAATTGTCCAGCAACACCCCGATTTAAATCTCCTCTTACGTCGTTACCCAAATACTTCGACGCTTTATTAACACCGTGACCCTATTTGCGTCGCATCAGCCCGCACGCTTACGTCGCTGACAGCATCATCGTCCGTCGTTTCTCGTTATCCGTCGCCTCTCAACCTTCGCCTCCGACACCTGCCCTGCAAATCGCTTTGATTGACTAATCCCATACCTGCATTTCCCATAAATATGCTAAATTCCTCTTGATATGCTAATTACTATGTCAAGGCGCTCTTCCCCCTCCAATCCAGCTTAAATATACGCTCCAAGCCTGGGGTGTTTCATTCAGACGCTGTCTTCCCGACAGACCTATTCCTCACCTGAGGACGGCTGCTTGCGTTGTGGCCGAAACGTCGTGAGAATTATTTTATTATGTTTTATTTTTATTATTTTATTATTTCCCTTCTACGTGACTTTACCGAAAGAACCAAGAAGATGACTCCCTGCAGTCACGAAAGCTTTAAATCGAAATTTGATTGACGCCGTTTCGATATTCGTCGTCGCACCCTTTCAGGAACGCAACCCCCGGACCTAAACTGGGGTATTGCTGTATTACATTTGGTTTGCATTTCATTTGGCTACATTCTATACCTGAGAATTAATTGTAAGGAGTTGAATGTCACGCAACAAACATCTCATTCTGGAGTGTGTGGGAAAGTCCAACGCCGACTGTGCACGCGATTGAAAATGCCTATGGAAGGATTTTGGTGGAGAAGTTTTGTGAAAGATATCTTGTGCGACCATTCTCTGACACAAATTATTTCACATATGCCATACAGATTAATTGCAAGGCCTATACTGCACCGACAAGCCCCAAAAAGTTCAATTATATTGACAAAAATGCAAGGGTGCAGCCCTGCAATTGCTTGCTCACATCGCTGCTAGCGAAGGGCCTCCACTAGAGGGAGCTCTATAGGAGCCCCCTCTAGAGGGTAGTTGGCCTACTCTTCCACGCTGACCAGAGGTCTTGGAAGAGGAGATGGCAAAGCCACACTTTACCAAACTATATGCAACCAGCCAATCGAGTGACTGCGGTGAACGCATCTTTCTCCTGCTGGGTGGACAGAGAACTGGGGGGGGGAGGGTGGGGGAGATTTAAGAGACGTATCCGTTGTTGTTTCAACTGCCACGCCGAGGCGGAACAATTTCAAACGGTTGACCTTTGGAAGCTCAGAGGTCGCGGTAACGTCCTATGACGGTCGGTGACGTACCGGTGACTTATTGATGCAAAATAATTACACACGCCCCCGTTTCAAACATTCCAAGGCAGATAAAAAATCTCTTGGATCAGGCTTCCCATTCCGAACGTGGCAATCCGGTGTTGCGTCCTGTCCCTGTTCCCCTTAACGCAGCGCGTCGGAAGTGCGGTTCGCACCCTCGCAGTACGACAGTCACATGGGGGGGAGGTGAGGTGAGGAAAGGGAAGGACGGAGGGAGGCCAGGGAGGAGGGAGGTGAGGAAAGTGAGGGGGAAAGGGAGGGAGGGTTTGTTGTTGGTGTCTATGAACACAGTAACACACAATGGGACTAATGTTACACGGGAAACCCGTGTTATATCTTTGATTTAAAAAAGGGGGCACATAAGCAAAAAAAAAACGACGTGATGAACGAAGCAAAGTGCCGAAAGACCGAGCATCTTTCTCGTCTGATCGTTAATAAAAAGAAAAAAAAAAAGGAGGGAGGGAGGGAGGGAGGGGAGGGGAGGGAGGGGAGGGAGGGGAGGGGGCCCACCCCGGCTGAGGCCGTCGGGTCCACGCAGCACGCGGCACTCCTCGATGTGTCCGAACGCAGAGAACATGACCCGCACGTCGCCCTCGTTGCACTTTTTGGACACCATCCCGATGAACAGCTTCCGGTCCTCTGTGGAGCAGAGGCGCAGCGAGAGAAAGATAAAGAATCAAGAGTGTTTATTTAGACTGGAGGAGGAATCCGATGAGCTATGAAGCTCTTTTTTACAGGCGTCTGGCATGGGCACGGGGGTCCGCACGTTACAACGGCAAACTATTACAAAACAAACGGATAGGGAGTGAAAATTAGAGAAAATGCTAAGGCAAGTCACTAAATATAAATAAATACTTTAACACGTAGGCTTTCACGACCAATATCATCAATAATATAGATTTTTTTTGGGTTAGATCTCGTAAATATAAATGTGTCGTTAAACCCACCACCACCCGACACAGCCAATTAGTAAGATTTGTCACGTAAACAAAATATGCCAATTTGTTACCCGTACAGCACACTGGTGTGTTGGAGAGCAAATCCACAACATTTACCATTCACAACTTACTAATTGGCTGTGTTGGGTGGTGGCGGGTTTAACGACACATTTATATTTAAGCGATCTAACCAAAAAAAAGAAGAATAACAAAAAAAATAAACCTATATTATAAATAAATAACATGGCATTCGGGACGATGACGTCATGCGCGAAAATCGAACTCAGGTCGCCGAGTTCGTAGCGCAGTGCGCCCAACCACTTCGCTACCGCTGCCCAGACACTGGGCGCTAACACTCACGTAGAGAAACATGGACACACGGATAAGCTCAGGGCTTTATTTCAGCCGGATCTGTCCAGGTCGCTAATCCTCAAAATATTTTTCGCAGCCGGCACACCGCCTCCAGTATACATCTAAACTATGGCTGCGGCTGCGAGTCACATGCCACCATCACGTGCCACCTACTGCACAGTCTACCAGAGACCCAGAAAACATTCCGTGTGGGGAATCATGTGGAGAACGATGGTCTGTAAATTCGAGAAAAGTAAAAAAAAAAGATTAAGGTTGGGGACCGGCTTAGGACCATCATCACACCTCTACTGTGTGGGATATCCACAGCAGTTGCTGTTTGGATTGATGGACCCTGCCATAGGAAGGTGGAACTTTCACCACTGGCTTAGGACTGCTAATAGTGATGAGCACCACGCAAAAGTTCATTTGATGGCCAAGGTGGTTTGACTTTAAAATATATTTTTTATTCCGCTTTCAAATTAGCCTGAATAAGAACGGTGTTGACATTTGTGAACTACACGGGAATTTCTTGATAATAACGCCCACTTCAAAGGAAGCTCTTAATGAGGTCATCAGTGACAGACAAGCAGGGACCATATAAAGCGTAACACACAAGGACACATGCAAAGACGCACGAAAGCAAAGACAAAGATCTCCCATGTAGCCTTCAGCAGACTGTTAGACTAAGTGCAGTTAGCGAGCACCTATTAAGGCCAAATCAGCACACAAAGTGGTGACTGGCCAGCACCACGTTCAGCTGCCTTTGTCTCCCCAGTGCCGATGTCTACTGCACACCAGCTGGATAGATTAGAAAGATTTAACTTATTTCATGGGCTTCTTGCAACGGTACAGATGTTATACAGCGCAGACTTCGGATACAATCATGGTTACATATGTCGAGATGCAAATTCACTTAAGGCTGAGCCAAACCAGGGGAGGTTCAAGACCACTTCAAATATCCGTCTGCGATGTTGGCTGTGAGCGGGAATCGAACTCGGTTGGCCGTGTTCGTAGCAAAGCGAGCGAACCACCGCACTACCACTCCCCGTGTACGTAGTCGGCACACACATAAGCACTCACCGTAGGAAGAACACGTGGACACTCACAAATAGTGGTACACGCAGAGACATGCACGGTGGCATATATATGTATGTTGAACTTCTTTCGCACCGTACGTAGCCAACCGTGCTAATCGGGAGGTGCGGGGCTAATCAGAGGTGCAAGTACGCACGTTTTGTGGAATGCAGAGGCTCGTGAACACATGGGGGAGGCTCAACAACTGGTCGTGCAGATGGAAAGCTTTAGACCAAATCACCGAGAAAAGGCCCGAGATATTGTCACATCTCTCAGATGAAAAGTCTCTCCGCTGCGCATGCGTCCTGTGTGCAGGGCCGTCCATCGGGGGGAGAAGGGGTGGGGCGTGCGAGGCCCGGGGCAAATCCTACAGTGTACCCCCCCCCACTCCACCGACGCCTTAAAATTAAACCAAAAGTATTACGTCTGACACCGTGACGTTGAAGTGCGGGGGCCCCACAAAAGCGCGGGGCCCGAGGCGGTCGCCGTGCCCTAGGGGATGGCTCTGCCTGGGGATCATGTGACGATTAGGCGGGGTATCGAGATCTACCTATCTAAGCACTATCCGGGCCCAAAAGACTGATTAGCCTTTTTCCGAGACCTGCCAAAATCAGGAGGCATTCCGGGTGATTTGGTTATAGCCTCACAATGGACATTTCATGCAAACACAGGTGTACACGAGAGAGCGCTCGCAATATCGTTTACATAGGACACACACATGAATACATACGTATGGGCGTACATACGTTAATGTGCATAAGTACATACATGCATACATGTGAACGTGCATACGCACACACATACATATGTACACACATACGTACAGACATATGTACATACGTACATGAAGATGTTCAACGCAGGCACGCCGCAATGTACCACAGCCGACAATAACGCGATAAGATATCAGGTTTATAATTTTCATATAATTACAGCTTTAACTCAAAGCTGACGTCTGCTGACTTGGGTGTAGACATTTACGACCTCATTGGACCGTTCAGTTGCTCAGAGGCATCAATGGAGGTCCTGCATTCTGCTCACGTTTTGAAATGGCAATGCAAGACCTTACGCACAGTCGTCAGATTTTAGATAGGTAAGTGCACTCCGTTGCTTTTTTTTTCTTGAAAGCATTTTCACGTGAGCCAGGCTTCTTCACTCACCATTTGACTTTTCACTGTCAGCTGGCTTCATCTGAATTGGGTGGTGCATCTGCGTGGGATGGGAACACAAAACGCAAGATTCTGCCGTTAGTCATCGAACCACCGGGGCCAGCACCGTCAGAAGGGCCGATTATCAAAGACGCCACAGTAGGCGAGATGTTGACTACCTCGCCTGGTATACAGAAGGTCGTGGGTTCGATCCCGACCCCGACGCCTGTATATTTAGAGTTTGCACGTCCTGCCCGTAGTCGCGTGGATTTTTCTCCGGGTCCTCCGGCTTTTTCCCTCCACATTTGCAATCGACGTGCGTTTAGAGCATTTGGCTGCAATACATTTCCACGCGATAAGGCGCTTCATTCAGCTATCATTTGTGGTAGCAAGGTCGCTTTTGAAAATGCGCTGTATATCTCAGTGCGCCTTACCTGGTAAAATAAAAAAAACTGGATTCAACTTTTCAGTTTTAGTTTTTAAAGGATAACACGGCATACGAGACGATGTTTGGACCATTACCAGGGCCAGCTGCCTCTGTCTAACCAAAAACCGATGCTAACACACGGGCACCCAGCGCTATGTTTTGTTTGCCGAGTCAACAAAGTGGAGGCCCAGGTCAGGTTCAGATAACTAATTGTCACGGGGCTGTGATGCATGGCCAGGAATAGAGCGCTGGTTGCAGGCTAGACTAATGATCACGGGCACTGCTCCTCATATCCCTGAGCTCATAAGCACGCTCATATTAATGACAGTAACAAACACAGGCGCACAGAAGAAGAAAAAAAACCCCTCCAAGATGCGTTTAGCAATTGGACTGTAGGGACACAAGTGCTCTTAGTGAGCACCTACGAAGGTTTGTGCGAAGGCGCGTCGGAGTGATGTGGCCAGCACCGCACGCCTGGCCGCATTTGTCTCCCCAAGGGGTCCGTGTTTACACAAAGAGCGCAAGGTGCCCATTTAAGGTTGAGTCGACCTAGGAGAAGTTCACGAGGAGTTCAGAGTCGGTTTAACATTTTATGGCAATCTTCGTCTGGGAATCAAATTCACATTGCTGTTATCACAGCACCGTGCACGAACCACTGCAACCAAACACAAAGAGACAGATCCCCCCAATAGCCTTAACAGACTTTTGGGGGCAAGTGCTATTCGCGAGCATGGCACACGAGGTGGTGGGTGGCCAGCACTATGCCCGGCTGCCTTTGTCTCCCCAGTGGTGATGTTTGCACACCGAAGCAGGTACTCATTTTGAGGTTGAGTCGAGCAAACACACACACACACTCGTATGTGTGTATGTAGGCCCATGTTTCGTCTGGACAGAACAAAGGTCCGGAGGGTCAAGTGAATCCCTAGCACGTATCCCAGTGCTAATTCTCACTAGATCGTGGTCTAACTGGCCTTCCTGTAGGCATCGTTGTTAGCGCTGGCAATGGGGTGGTTGCTGTTGTTTGTAATGTATTTGGCGATTATATTGTTTCTAGTTAAAAAATAAAGTTGTTGTATTTTCTGGCAAAGACTGTATAAGTCACCGGTTATAGTTGCTATTGGTTTGTTACCGTTCTTGTAACTGTTGTTAAATAGTCGATGGGCACAATTCACGAAAATCCACAGTTTGAGACTATTATAATTTTTCTCCAGAAATTCTGCTGGCAGGAATAGATTGAAAACTAATTTCTAGTTTGAAAACGAATTTGTAGATTCAAAATGCATTTATTGAGAGCTGCTTTTTGTGTTCAGTTTGCTGTCCTTCGCCCGCAACTCTGATTACCACGGTTGACTAGGTACTGTAGAAAAAAAGTTAAATATCTATACATAATCATCATCTTCATCACCATCGTGCGTATGGGCTAATCCCACCATGACTGACCTCATTCCAGCAGTATTTACGAGAGTCTGGCAGACAGTATTTTTAAACTGCACTTTCTGAGTCATAGTGCTCAATCCGCACTCCCTTCATTTCCCAAGACCACGAGTTCACATCGTTGGGATTCCACCTCCAAAATCATCCAGAATCTTGGTACAAAAGTTGCAGAAGGTTTTCTCAAAGTCTCTGTCCCAACTCTGCCCTAAAGCCCACCAACTTCGACCCATCATTGCGAAAACGGCATCTGGTGAACTGCTAAATGCAGAGGAGCCAACAATGATCCATGTCAGCATGTACGTTGAACTTCTCTCGCACCGTACGTAGCCAACGGCGCTAATCGGAGTTGCGGGCGAAGGACAGCAAACTAAACACAAAAAGCAGCTCTCAAGAAATTCGTTTTCAATCGAGAAATTCGTTTTCAAACGAGAAATTCGTTTTCAATATAATTCAACTATGAATATGGCTAATTTATGTTGCCGTTGACATTGTTAGAATTTGGAGTGTCGTTACGATTATTGCTGCAGCTGCTGCTGGTGCTGGTGCCAGTTGTAGTGACGGAGAGGCGAAAGCGCTCACCCCAGGGAGAGTCTTGATGTTGTGCAGGGCATTTTGGGCGTCCAATGCCGACTTGCGGGTGTAAAAGGTCACGAAACAGCAGCCTGCCCGGCACACCGACCCAACGCACGCACGCATTCACACTCCGCCCAAAAAAACACAAGAGCAATCGCTCGCCAGGCACGCGGGGTGAAACGTTGTGTGTACGTTGACCTTATTTCGCACACGATACGTAGCCAACCGTGCTAATCGGAGGTGCGGGGGAAGGACAACAAACTGCAAACACAAGAAGCAGCTCTAAATAAATGAGTTTTCAATCTAGATGTATGAGTGCGTAGCTCCGGCGGCTTTCTAATACTACATGCCGAACAAAACGCGACACAACCCGGCGTTAACGCTACGTCCACGATGAAGTAACTGCAACTAAAGATGCTACGAAGCGATGCAAACATTCCCGCCAACCCCTTAAATAACGCAGGGCCAAGATACAGCAGCAGCAGCAGCGTTGGCTGGCTGGGCCCCGCTCTCACATCCCCTCCCGCCCCGTCCGTGTTGTTTGGACCTCTGCTCTGCGGCGGGTTCTGTGTGCGGTCGCGCAGGACGTTGATCTCGTAGACGGGGCCAAACGACTCGAACATCTCCTTGAGCTCCTTCTCGCTCCAGGCGCGAGGCACCTGCCCCACGAACATCTTGATGGCATCCGGGTCCGGCTGCTCCATGTGCTCCAAGCTCCCGTTCATCGTGGACTTGTTGAGGCTGCCCTTGCTGCGTGCAACAAACAAAGACGATACATAGATGTCACCCCCCGTATAGCCTGCAATAGCCTTTTTTGAGTTGACCTGCAGAGTCGCCGACTTGTCCCCCTTCACCCGTAATTTATCGAACCGTGACCACGTTTGACACCCATTGCTCCCGCCCAAAATCAAAAGAAATTATCACTTGCGCTCGTGGCCACACGACCATGCCTTGCCACGTAGGACGTCTCTGCTCGGAGACCAGCACTTTATCGTTCGCATGCTTTATTTCAATTGTTATTAATCTCGAATTCTTGATGGTGGCTACACCCATTTACGTTTGCATTCTATTGTATGGAACAGCACCATCTGATCCCCTTTCCCTATCCACCCCTTTGGCAATGTGTTGTAGCCGTTACCACCTTTCCCCTACATTATTTTTTTATCATGTATTTCTAAAATGATGTACGCAGCTGCGGCATGTCGGCTGCTCTGACTCACTTGAGTGTGAGAGTGAATAAACGATTTATATTATAAGTGCTCTTAGCGAGCGCATGTGAAGGCCGGCACGGTACACGAGGGGTTGGGTGGCCGGCACCACACCCTACCACCCTCATCCCCCCTCCTGGTACGGTGTGTGATGTTTACACACCGTACCAGGGATTAATTTCATGCTGAATTGACCTAGGAGAGGCCCAGGATCGGTTCAGATAATCATCACTGGTGTTGGCCGTGAGCGGGAATCGAACTCGGGTCGCTGGGTTCGGAGGGCAGTGCACTGAATGCTGAACAACCGCTCCCCGACACACACAAACAGAAACACATGGACGCACACACAACGAGCGCTTGAGACATTGTTACATTGTTTGTGATCATGATCTATGCAGAACTAGGACTGGTGACACAATTCAAGACTCAGTGAGAAGAGGCGAGGCAGCGGCGTAGCTCTTGAGTGTGCCGTCGGTACAACTGCACCAGGGCCATCGGGACAAAGTGGCAATGGTATGGAGCAAATTAGACGGGGACAGGGTAATATTTTTTTCAATTGAAAACTCACTACTTCAGAACGGCTTTTTGTTAAATTTGTTGTCCTTCCCCCGCACCTCCGATTACCATGGTTGGCTACGTACGGTGTGAAAGAAGTTCAACACGCGTGCACGCAATTAATTCCACGCTACACTGCTGAGATGAGTGGAGCGATTGCGGGTGCTGTGGAAGGGAAGTGGAGAGGTGGAAAGGTTCACTGACAGAACCGGGTGTTTAACGTTGAGCAGCGAGGTATGGAAACGCACTTATGCAAAAGGAACTCTTTCACACAAATAACTAGACCCACCCCCTCCCCTCCCACAGAAACATTCACTCACATTATGTGCCAACTGTGCTGCCCCAGCATGGAGGCTACTGCACTGCAATCTGGTGGGACGTGGGCCCTCTGTTTGGCGCAACGGGGCCTTCGTCACCGACTTGTTGCTGAATGATGAAAATGATGGGAAATTGACCGCAGCTCACACAATAAGAACCGTTCATCGAAGTCAATCTCATCCCTGGGACGCAGCATGGCTTTTACTCTGACACCAGCTGTTTCTAACCCCTTTTGCGACCCTTGGGCCACTGTCAAACCTTCAAAACATTTCCACGGACCAGTGCGCAGCAAAGAAAACTATTGTGTTTTGTAACAATTAAATAAATCGTGTTCTGTAACGGTTACGTGGCTTTGGGGACCACACGTTTGGAACCACTGCCTGGAAGATTCACACGAGCAGTAACGCATATATTCGCTCGTCGCAAGATGACTTGGCAATTCCTTTACGTCATAAGACATTACATTCCTTGTGTAATGTCGTGCAAGGGGCCTGTGACGTGAATACCGAAAACGTTGTGATGGGTCGCTTTGGCCTAGGGCCGCATCCAGCCAAAAGCCTGACCGGCGATCAACTCTCGCCCGTGCCTCTCACCCATTGCTTTGTTAACTCTCTCCGCATCTTTTTTTCCCGCAGGACCTACCCACGTGACCCATCACTCTTCGTTTCTTAATGCCCACCACCCCGCGTGCAGAGGGAACCCAAATGAAAACGAATCTGCGCCCAGCTTGCTAACGGCACCAGTTGTCATGCTGGGCAAAGCACAAAGCGAATCTCTTGACCGTACCGTGAAACAACGTCGAGACGTAATAATGCAACAACATGCCCGTGGCCTGTCATGGGTATTACCCAATAACAAGTACACGTACACAAGCAACAGCTTAATATTCCCCAAGGCTGTGCCTGAGTTTAGCACACAAAAGAACGCAAGCAACAGATTGGATTTATAAAGGAACACTTTACGATGCAGGCAATTCCACGCCGTCGCTATCTATTTTTCTACACGGCTTCGGGGGACCTCGTTATCAGTGTGCACTTGAGCATACTATGAGCGGTGAATCACGGCTCGTGTCCCGTCGCATGTTATACGATGCCTGGGGCCTAATCAAAATATCAGTGCAATAGATGGGAGTGTACATAAATGTGTAAAGCGTCTGTATCATGCCAACATTTTAAGTGCAGTACTGCGCGTATTGGACAAGTGTACTGCACGTGCTGTGGTTAACTGTGTGGGCTGTAAATCACGTACAAAAAGTATTACAGGGAGACGCAGTGGCACAGTGGCTAACATACTGCGTGACGTATGAACCCCGTGACCCGAGTTATTATTCCCAGCCATGGCTAATATCAATTGCGATTGTGATCTAAAACGGACTTTTGCAACTCCTGATCAGCATGGGGAAGTATGGTCAACAACCCCCAATGACTGACACATCACCCTCGCAGCAGCTTTTGGCCACTCATCGAAACAAAGACGGTCACTGCATCGCACGCTTTCAGATGTGATTATGCGGCCCTCTGGAACGCTCTTCCACCCAATATTAGGAAGGCACTGGAGCTGTGCACTTTTAAATCGTCTAAATTGAAAATGCATTTTTTTAGAAGTGCTTTCTGTGTTTAGTTTGTTTTCCTTCCCCCGTACCTCCGATTTAGCGCGGTTGGCTACGTACGACGCGAAAGCAGTTCAACGTACGTACGTAGAAGACGGGCGCGCGTGGCCTGGGAGAAAAATCCCAGGCAATGCCCCATTACGATTCCCTACATGCATCACCAGTGTCTTGGATAGATCGTGCTGCCGATTAAAACATTAGAACCCTCAACGCAGTATGCACTGAGCTGACCTATGCGGTCACGCGGTGAACGAACACTCGAGCAACTCAGACGCGTTGTTGATATCGCTTGCGCGATAGCGATGCTGTTGGCACCGTGACACGCGGGGGTTTCGACAATCCTCGCACCACGGGGTAGGGTCCCTCACCTTTCCGTTTTTGCCAGATCCAGATAAGGCTCAAGTTTAGGGGAGGTTTTGTGGGCGGTGGCAGCAGAATGCTGAGCGGTGCGCTGTGGGATGCCAGGCCAAACCTACAATGGGTGCCGTCCAAATTCACAGTGGACGTTAAATATCCCGCGATGTCATTTGAAGAAGGTCGAGGCCACTGTGCTGACTTTATAGTCCAAACTCCTGAAATGTTTTAAATTATTCTAAAAATACTTGATTTAGAAAGGCATGGGGCAATCGTTGCCCCCTGCCTTCCTCTGTACTGTGAACATTTGCAAGGCTTTCCTGGAAATATGTCTTGAGACTCGGTGAGTCTCGGGCATTGCCTGGGCAAAAATCCCAGGCAATGCCCGATTATGATTCCCTAATCATGGAGCTGTGCACCATAAATAGGTTAGCACCACCACAACAACATATGGTGTGAATAATTTGGAATCTTTGCACAATGTTTGGGGGGATTTTATTATAAATTCTAATGCTATTACAGACATGGGCAAATGCAGCGAAGAGTCCATTTGAGTCCCCTCCTCGATAAATAAAAAAGTTTTAGTTTTAATAGGGGGCCGTCCATAAATGACGACACGCGATTTTGGACGATTTTTGACCCCCCCTCCCCTCGTCACAAAAAGTCAGACCCCCTCTCAAATATGATGTCACAAAGCTCTGCCCCCCCCCCCCCAAATAAAACATGCTTTAAATTGCTTGAAACGATTGTCATTGTAGTGCGTAAATAATGTGGCGCTGCACTCTGATGTTGTAGGAGAAAACATTTATTAAAAAGTCTATTTAATTAAGTAGAACGTGTTGTCTATATTTATTTAAAGTTGCGCATTTCGATGTGACGTCACATTTCGCAACCCCCCCCCCCTCGTCACACATCGTCACAAAAAGGTGCGTGACGTCATTTATGGACGGCCCCTAGGTACACCACGCACGTGGAGGAATCCAGGAAACAACCCCGGAGCGACCACTGCAGAACTACCACCTGAGCCCCACGAGTTTCCGTTCGCCGTCGTCAATAATTGTGTCGTACAACTGACCCAAACGTTTGGAGAACACGTCTCGAAGCGTTCCACAAATTCCAATGAACCGAGTGCAATTTGAAAGCTTTCTGCTACGCGGTTTACGCAAATCCGGCTAACACTACGGCAACGAAGATGCTTTACCTACCTCTTCTTCTCAGTCCTTAAAATGTCCGACCCACGCTGCCACTTACAATAAGCCTGTTGCATGATGCTGCCCCATTTCAAAATCATACCATAGCGAGGCATGCGCTGTTTTGGGGGGGGGGGGGGCACACGGGGGGCGGGGTGCCGGGGGGGGGCTGTTTCCGAATCTCAACGGGCTTCCCGCTACATCGTATAAACATGGAGTGCCTCGGGTCAGCCGAGTTGATGACCTGCGAACATGGACGATGATTGTATAATGGCTGGCGTAGTGATGCTGTCAGTCACGAGGCAGGCAAACAGTTCCGTACCGGCAGCCGTGGGCAAGACCACGGCGCTCCAGTCGAGTAGAAATCCCAAACGCCTCTTAACGACGGCGATTGGTTCCCACGAAAGCGGTCGTTAAGTGATTTTGGTCTTCTTGGTTCTTTCGGTAAAGTCACGTAGAAGGGAGATAATAAAATAATAAAAATAAAACATAATAAAATAATACAATTCTCACGAC